GGGGGGGGGGGGGGGGGGGGAAATGTTGAAATTATTTAAGGGGACCAATTTGTCATAAAATTTGTGTCAGAAAAAAAGATTGGGTTATGGAAAAAAGCCCAAAACTACAAATAAATTGTAAAAATCAGAACACAAAAATCATATAAAAAAAATATAAGGGAAAAGAGGGAAAAAAAGGGATATCGGCAACACTTTTCCTAAAGCAAAAGGACCCATGTTGTCCCTCAGGGGACAATTTTAAAACCAACTTTGCAGCCTCTTTTCTAGAATTTTCTGACCCTTTTTTTTTTTTTTAATTCCCATAACAAATAGAAAAATTTTCCCCTTTATTTCAAAGAAAAAAAATTTATTTTTTATTTTTCAAAAAATTTGGGGGACGGGGGGAGAAAAGTATATATGGAAAACCCTTTAGGGGTTTTTTTACTTTATTTCCCTTTCAAGTTTACAATGTTTGGGTTTACATATTTTAGAAGTGGGGGTTTTTAATCTTTTTGAGAGAATGGTGGGGTTGGGGGTTTCAAAGGGTAAATTTGGGGGAAAAATGTTTGAGGGAGTAGTAGGGAAAACTGGGGTGCCAAAGGGGGGAAAAAGTAAATCTTTGGGGCCTTTAATTGACTATGGGGAGAAAGAGAATTTGGTTAAAAAGTAGGACAATTTTTTGAAAAAAAGGATTTAAATAAATTACAAGGTATGATTTAGCACGTAATAAAGTAGTTTTGTTAGGGTTATGTATTGGGGATAAAAGGTTGATGGGTAGAACCCCCAATATGGGACATGTTTTTAAAAGGGGCAACTGATATATCAATCATTATTTAGTTTTACTACAGTTAGAGTAAAGGGGGTAGAGGGGGAAAAAGGAAGGGTTGGGAACAAAAAACAAGAGGGGGGTGAAAGGTTAAACTAAAGGGGAGGAATTTTGGGGGAGATAAAGCACTATTTGGGAGAAAGGTGGGCAGTGCAAAGATGATTTTGTTGGGGGGGGTTTTAAGAGGGTTTGGGAAAAAGTTTTTTTTTAAAAGCAGTAATTTAAATTGGGGGGGAGAAGTTTTGTGGTTTTTAAAGGGGGGTGGGGGCAGGGGGAAAGAGGAGTGATTGGTGGGGAAAGATGAAGTAAAGGGTGATAAAGAGAAAAAAAGGGAGCCTTTTTTGAGGGTTTTTACAAAGCAAAAAAGTTTATAAAAAAGAGCAAGTATATGGGGAGTGAAAGAAAAAGGAAAGGAGAAAGGCGAAAAGTGCCCCAAAAGGAAACAGATGAAAGTGGGAGAGGGACTGTCAAGAAATTTTAATTAAAATAAGAAAAAATTTTTGGAGTGAGTTAAACAATTAAGAAAAACCTAGGGAAAGATGGATTTGTCAGTTAAAAAAAAAGAGTAGGGAGTTTGTAATGGGGAAAATGGAGTATTAAATAGATGGCGAGAATATTTTTGGGGGAACTTTTTGAAAAGGTTTTGGAAGAAAGAGGCCCGTAATTTCATGCCTGGGCAGGGAGGTAAACCATCTTTTTGGAGTGAAGAAAGAGCAGAAGTAATGTGGGGGGGGGGACGTGAGGCATTAAACCCTAAAAAGAAAGGGGGTAAAGCGCTTTAACTGATGGGACAAGACAAAAATGGGGAAAAAAACCCAAAGGGGGGGGTTTTGTTTTGGAAAGGTTTTTACTTTTGGGTTTAATAAATTTTATGAAAGAGGGGGAAAGGGACCTAGGGTTGGCCCGAGAGCATGTATATCCCTTTAAAATAAAAAGGGGAAAGGGGGCAAAAGAGTTTTAAAAATTAAAAGAGGAATAAGTTTACCCGAGTAACCAGGAAAAGTGCAGTAGGTTAAAAATTTAAAGAGTAAAAGGGAAACGGAAGGGAAAGGGTTTGCGGGTGAGCAAGGAGGTTTTCCCCATTTGGGGGGGGTGTGTAGAATTTTAAGTGTTTACATTGAAGCTATATGTGGGAAAATTTTTTTAGATAAAGGTAGGGGAAGTTTTTTTTTGGGATTTTAAAGGGAATTTTTTGAAAAGGCATATGATAAAAGGGATAGAGAAGCAATGGGGGCAGATTTTGAAAAATATGGAATAATGGTAAGTTTTTTTAAAAAGCTGTAAAAAAGTTTTTTTTTGAGGAAAGTGAGGGTCAGGTTAGATGGGAAAGAAGGGAAACTTCTTCCCGGGAAAATAAGGCTTGAAAAGGGATGTGTAATTTTCCACCCATTTTTTTTAATATATTTATAGAAGGGGGTAAAGAAGTAAATGCTAGGGTGTTCGGGGGAGGGGTGGGGGTTTTAAATTTTTGGGGGGCAATTCAAAAAGGGAAAAAATTTTTAAAAACCCCGTTTCCCTTTTTTCCCGATAAACGGGGCTTAAGGGAATTCTAAAAAAAAATTGCAAAGGGTTTGTGGATGAGTTTTTGGAATGGTGGGAAATAGAAATTTTAAAGTGACAAGAAAAGAGTAAGGTGTGAGGGTATCAAAGGGGTTTGAAAAAAAAATTTTGGGTATCAAATTGGGGAGGGGGATATTGGGAAAAAGTGAATGTTTTCAGATACTTGGGAGTTGACGTGTCCGGCGGAAGGATTTATGAAGGAGAGGTTTAAAACATAGAATTGATGAGGGAAAAAAGTGATTTGGGGCGTTTAGGGATATGTGGATCCAAAAAAAGTTACTATGGGGCAAAAAAGGGGAAAAGTTTTGAAATTATAGTAAACCCAAAACTCTTTTATATGTGGGAACTTGGGGGGTAAAAAAAAAGGGGGAGCGAGGAACGGTTGGAGGCAAATTGGGGAAAAGTTTCCCCCTTTTAAAGGGATCCCTGGGGTGTAAAATTTTGCAGAAAATTTTCGGAGTGTGGAAATTAGGGAAAAGGTGTGGGGTTTTAAAAAAAAGGATTAGTCAGAGGGCCCGAAGAGGGGTTGGGTTTAGTGGTTTGGGTCATTTTAGAAAATGGATCAAAGTAGAATGACAGGAAAGGTATAAAAACTATAGGGGGAAGGGGAAGGGGGGGTAGGGGGGCGTCCTCGAAAGGGTTGGAAAAGGGGGGGTAAAGGAGGTTTTTGTAGGCAAGGGGGTTGGACTTTTTCAAAACGTGGGGTACGTGATAGATAGGAAAATGAAAAGGAGAAAGAAAGGTAAATTGGGGCCTGATGATCTGTTTTAGTGCAGCAGGGAAAAATTTAGGAAAAGGGTTCAGGGAAAACCGGGTTTTTTTTCATATAGTTTGGAAATTGAGTCCTGGAAATTTGGGGAAATACAATGCCGGGACTTTAAAAAGGGGGTTTTGGGGTATTGGCAGTTTTTGGGGGGTTTTTTGTTATCTTTTTTTGTGTTCGCTTTTAAAAATGTTTTATTCTGAGCAACCCCCGGGAAAAACAGTGAAAAATTTTGTGATTGGGTGAAAGTGTTTTAATATGAGAAAGTATTTTCTTTTTGGGGAAATTTTTTTTCTTTTTTTTGGGGCCCCCTGCCTCGGTTGGGGGAAAGGCTGACTTTATTTTAAGAAAAAAAAAAAAAAAAAATTTTATAGGTAGTTTACAGTGAGGGTTTTCAATTTATTTGGACGCAAAAGAAACCACTATCATGCCTTTGGGAATTTTCGCAGTCTAAACTTAATACAAAGGGTGATTTCTTAAAACCCAAGTACAAAACATAGTTTTTCCTAACTATACAATAGGTTTTAAACTAATAAAAAAATTTTTAATTTAACATCTGGGATTAAGGGTTAATTTTTTTTTTTTTTCAAGTTGGGTGTTTTTCCCCCCCCAGGCAGGGGACCAAAAAGAAAAAAATCCCCAAAAAAAAAACACTTTGATCTTTATTCCACCTTTTCCCCCACCCACATAATCACTGTCTTTGCAGAGGCACCCAGATACAAAAAGTTTTTGAAACATTTATAACTTTCCCCCCAAAAAGGCCCAAAATTCCAAACCCTTCCTTTAAAGTGCAGGCATTGGGACTTTCCCCTTTTCCCGTACCAAAACCCCGCCCATTTTAAAAAAAACTGGTTTCCCTGAATCCCTTCACTAAATATTACCCTGCTCACATTCCAACAGCTCATCAGGTCCCAAAAACCATTCTTCTCCATTCATTCCTATCTAACACGCTCACATATGCTTGCTGGAAGTCCAAGCCCCTTGTCTACAAAACCTCCTTTACCCCCTCCCTCCAACCTTTTCGAGGACCACCCCTACCCTGCCTTCCTTCCCCTACAGATTTATATGCTCTCCAAGTCATTCTACTTCGATCCATTCTCTAAATGACCAAACCACCTCAACAACTCCTCTTCAGCCCTCTGACTAATACTTTTAGTAACTCCACACTTCGAATTCTCTGCATAATATTTACGCCACACATTGCCCTTAGACAGGACATCTCCACCGCCTCCTCGTTGCAGCATTCACAACCCAAGCTTCACACCCATATAAGAGTGTTGGTACCACTATACTTTTGTACATTCCCTTCTTTGCCTCAATGGATAACTTTTTTGTCTCCACAGATACCTCAACGCACCACTCACCTTTTTTCTTTCATCAATTCTATGGTTAACCTCATCCTTTATAAACCCATCCACTGAGAAGTCAACTCTCAAATATCTGAAAGCATTCAGTTCTTCCATACTCCCTCTCTCCAATGTGATACCCAATTTTTCTTTATCTATATCATTTGATACCCTCATCACCTTACTCTTATCTATGGTCACTTTCAACTTTCTACCTTTACACACCCTATGAGAATTTATTGTAAAATGAATACAGATATTTTAATTACTGTTATAAGAACACTTTAAATATCTGCCTGGGTGGGAGACGACCAGCATGTTAAAAAAAAAAACTAGGACAACTGAGTTACTCACATCAGTTAAAAAAAAAAAAATTACTATTTCCATAAAATGAGAAGTAAAACTTTAAAAGGATAAGAGATTTATAAAAATATACAGGTCAACAATAGAAAGTAGAAAAATCAATTGTGCAATGAAAAAATAGCAGCACTCACTAGACTTAAAAAAACTGAGATTAAAAACTTACTTGTAAACTCCAGGTATTTTTGGGTGAGCTACTAGTAGTGTTTCTGCATGTCTCAGTGCTGTGGAGTAGTCTGAGAGGCAGAGACTGACATATGCACTACATGCTAGTGCAGACACTCTCAGACTCACCACCTCTGTCCCTCTCAAGGGAGAAGAGGGCCCTGCAGGATAGAGCTCAGGCATCACACCTGCCAAGAAAATTTCAATTAACTAATAAAGTATAAAAGGTTCACAAAGAAATGTTGTACACTGATACAAATATTACAGTAGATAAATAAAAGAAAAAAATCCTATTAAGTGCAAGCTCTGACTACCCAATATTTATTCATTATCTGTTCATCAGGTAAACCTTACATTTGATAAGAAACTTTGTGAATGAAAAAAAATCAACTGAAATAATCCCGAAAAAGAATATGAAGAATCGCGTATAAATTGAGCATGTAAAATTTCTTGTTTTTTATGGCTTCAGTTAATAAAACAATGGCTTAGAAAAATATTGCATGTAGCTTCTTATCAAGTAACATCGAATGTTGACAATGCAAAATATCCCCACACACACATCCTTGCAAAGATGTAGAGGTAAAAACTTTGCAAGAAAATATTGGAAGTGTAATGATCATTTTCACTAAAAGAAGTTCCAAAAACAGATGACAGTTCTAATGGCAAATACTATATCAAGAAGTTTGCAGGTGTCAATCTACTGAATTCTTAGACTGTCAACATCACCCAGTCTGTGTTGGCATTTTCTTTTTAAATTAAAATATAATTTTATCGTCTAAAATGGTAGGGAATCTCTTTCTAAAGGTAAAGACACCAGAATTTTATGCAATATTTATGGAATTATGCAGGCACAAATTTGGAGGCTGGGGAGAACTTTACTCAACAATTTTGCCCACTTTGAGGTTCATTTATTATTTCTGATCATACGAGTTTATCACTGCATGAAATAGATTTCAACCCTTATACTGTACATGACGTACCAGTACACACAACTTTTGTGCCTTCAGATGTGCTACCTGCCATTGCTTTAACTGTGTGTCTACTACCACCAACTCATGCCTGGGAAAAACATTGTGGACCAGGCAGGTCCACATGTTGCATCATGGGTAGCAATGCCTCAACAGCACATGTAAACACCATGACCTGTTGTGCCACCACCAGCTTCCCTGCTGTCAAACAGGGTGAAGGACTGGAAGGAGGATGCCTTATTTGCTCCAAATTTATTAGTTTCATTATACAGTGGATCCCTAGATATTGGCCGGCGCAGATATCGGCCAAATCGGATTTCAGCCACTTTTTTGGCCGAAATTCTATCCTGGATTTCAGCCGGCAACTCGGAAATCGGCTGTATTAGACGCGTCCGCCCACCATGCCGTATACGTGAGTCAGTCTGGCTGTGTCTCTCGGTGAGTGAGCAACACACTGTGCATTCATCCAAACATTTTGTTATAATCCATTTTTTTTTGTGGTTGTTTATTGAGTGCAACTGCAAAATAAGCCACCATGGGCACAAGAGCTAACCACTGAAGAGCTGCAAGACCTTCATCTGCAACAGCAACAGACCACAGCTGAGGAAATTGATTCAGAGGAGGAGGGGGAGAGAGGGAAGACGGTGCCTTCTTCAGCAATTAAGGACATTTGTGCAAAGTAGAGGGAGGTGCAAAGTTTTGTGGAGAAATATCACCCTGACCAAGCTGAAACAAGCCATATCTGCAACATGTTCAGTGACAAAACCTTGTCCTGTTTCAGGCAAATCTTAGAGACACCAGAAACAGACCTCTCTGGACAATTTTTTTTGTGCGACAGGGGTGCAGTGACTTTTACTGGCACTAGGGCCAGCTTAAAAGACAAAGAAGGGAAGTAACCTTGGAAAGGGACTTGATACCTGAAGTCCTTATGGAAGGGGATTCCCCTTCCAAACAATAATCAGTTCTCCCTCTCTCCTCCTCCCTGTCTTCTATAGGCCAACAAGAATCTTCAATAAAGGTAAATGTGATGTTATATGTTCATTTATCCATTTCATTAGTCATTTTATTTAGTTCTCATTGTTTTGTGCATGTAAAACTATAGTTAATCTTTAAAAAAATTAAATTTTTTTGTTAATATTTTTGGGTATCTGGAATGGATTAATTGCATTTACAGTAATTCTTATGGGAAATATTACTTCAGTTCTCGGCCTTTTCAGATTTCGGCTGATCTTCTGGAATGGATTACGGCTGAAATTTGGGGTTCCACTGTACTAACAGCAAAATTGAGTTTAGAAGCACACTATGCACTTTTATCCTAGAATAACCCCCCAAAAAAAGTCAAACATTGTACATCCACTTATTTCCATGTTTTGAAGAGAAACACACCTTGAAACAATTGTAATATCTAAGTTTCTTTGTACATACATGGTGTTAGAGGATAAAATCAATAGAAACAAGAAAAACAATTATTTGAACAAATTTATTGTGAATAATGTAATTTCAGCTATGGCATACTATGCTTTTCCCATGTTTTGAGCACAGTAATTAAACACCTTGAAATACACTTAATATCACAAGAAACAGTGTGGTAGACATTAAAAAAATCATTGATATAAATAAACTGGAAAACATAAATGCTGCAATGTGCATTAATGCAAGTGTTGCCAACATGTGATCATTTTTCTTTTGCAAGTAAACAGGAACAGTACTGAATGCAAAAAATTTGTTAAATATTCTCAATTAAATATAAATGAAATTAAAAATGAAATATTATTGCTTGGGAACTTATCTCCGATAGGTTCCAGATTCCATACACTCATCTTACAAACAATTTTTGGGAAAGCATTATGCCCTAAGTTGGGAACCGTACCCTCAAATAAAAATCTCACTACAGATCACCTCTGCTTAATACCTGAAGCTTCTTGCTCATCTGTGAGAGATGCAGTGGACACATTTTCTGGTAAAAGAGTAAGAGCATTTCGAAGACACAGCCTGGCAAACTCTAGCGTGGGCTCAGGAAATGCAGCATCAGATTCTGACTGTGGATCATAGCTGTAAAGGTTGATTAAAAAAAAATATGGGTGTAACGTAATCTTGCTTAATATGTTCAGTCACTAGCATATACACACTGTACATTCAGTGTTTACAACATTTACACAATTCTCATGCCAATTATTGAAATTGAAGAGATTTTCTTTGATCAATTTACAAGTAGGTTAGACAAATACATGCAAGCCCATGATGGACACTAAGGAGAATGGAGACTGCCTAAGTTTATTTCATCTTTTAGACTAGGACCAACAGATGATTACACAACAAGAAACAAGATCATGAAACCAAGCCAATGACAATAGATAAAGAAAAAAAAAAGCAATTTAAAATTATGTTTTAATTCAATAAACAAAACTTAATCCAAAGCTTACTGTTTTTTGTTGTGGTCGCTAACGCATGTAGCGAGGCATATCTTCCTGTGAATGCCAACGCCTACTGTACCCTGCACTATGGACTTCTTGGAAGCAATATCTTCACCAAGACCCTATGAAAGTTGAAAGAACATAGATAAGAGTAAGGTGATGAGGGTATCAAATGATTTAGATAAAGAAAAATTGGATATCACATTTGGAGGGAGGGAGTATTGAATAGGTGAATGTGTTCAGATATTTGGGAGTTGACCTGTCAGCAGATGGGTTTATGAAGGATGAGGTTAACCACAGAACTGATCAAGGAAAAAAAGCGAGTGGTACTCTGAGGTATCTGTAGAGACAAAAAATGTTATCCATGGAGACAAAGAAGGGAATGTACCAGAGTATAGTGGTACCAACACTCTTGTATGGGTGTAAAGCATGGGTTGTAAATGCTGCAGCAAGGAGGCTGGAGGTTATGGTGATGTCATGTCTAAGGGCAATGTGTGGTATTAATATTATGCAGAGAATTCGTAGTGTGGAAATAAGGAGGAGGTGTAGAGTTACTAAAAGTATTAGTCAGAGGGCTGAAGAGGGAATGTTGAGGTGGTTTGGTCATTTAGAGAGAATAGAACAAAGTAGAATGACTTGGAGAGCTTTTAAATATGTAGGGGAAGGAAGGCGGGGTAGGTGTCATCCTAGGAAAGGTTGGAGGGAGGGGGTAAGGGAAGTTTTGTGGGCAAGGGGCTTGGACTTCCAGTGAGCATGCACAAGTATATTAGACAAGAGTGAATGGAGACTAATTTTTTGGGGGACCTGAAGCTATTGAAGCATGAACAGGGTAATATTTTGTGAAGGGATTCAGGGAAACTGGCTAGCCAGACTTGAGTCCTGGAAGTCTGAAGTATAATGTCTACACTTTAAAGGAGGGGTTTGGGACATTGGCTGTTTGGAGTGACATCTAAACTGTTGTATCTGAGTGCCTCTGCAAAGGCAGTGATTATGTATGAATGATGGTGAAATGTCAAATGATGGAAGTTTTTTTTTTTTTGTTTTTTTTTTTTTTGTTTTTTTTTGGTCACCCTGCCTTGGAGGGAAATGGCTGAAGTGTTAAAATGAAAAAAAACTAAAATATGATGACTTACAATACAATATGCTTGCAAGGCTCTTTAATAAACAAATTATTTTTCTTTTGCAATTTTCCTTCCTTATCTCTTTCTCTTCATCACTGTTTTTAAATTTCTATCTTCTTTCATCCAACAGACAAGAAGTGACAGACTGCCAACCCATCCTGCAATATCTTTATTCAATGAATGTCACTAAAACACAAAGAGCAACACAGTTGCACCAAGAACAACATAGGTGCTCTTGGTGTTTTAGTGAGGTTTACCTAAATTTAGTCACTTTTAATGGAATTTCACATCTCAATTAATGAAGTTAACCCTTACAACAATCTGAACTACAGTGGAACCTCTACTTATGAGTACCCCAACAAACGAGTTCAAGATACGAGCAGTTGCTCAGTCGATTTTTTGCTTCCAGATGCAAGCGAAATTTCAAGATGCGAGAGGGCTTCAGGGAAGGTTCCTTGACGTTGCTGAGGGGCTCTTGCTCTTGATCTAGGGAATTGGATCTCAGTTGTTTGTTGTAATATCTTATTGAAACTTAAGCAATGTATGATGGAAAGAAATTGGACCATAAATAACAGAGTTCACTTCTCAGCCTTTAGCCACCCCTTAGCAGTATATTTTTGTATGGTTTTTATGGTTGTATTCTCCTTTTTTTGGTCTCATTTGACAGAATGGAAGATATATTACAGAAATAGATATGATTTTGATTGGTTTCACGACAGAAAGTACCTTGAAATTGAGTTAAAATTAGCAGAAATTTCGATTCTTTGGCGATGTTCAAGAGTAAATAAATGACGTCACCATCCTATACCTGTCCAACTGGCCATTCCAATATGCAGTCATGAATGGGTTGACATTATTTATACAATTATTACAATAATGCAGTAGTCTGCATTACAGTAAATCTTTTATTTTTTGTGTGAATAAAAATTCCTAATGGTAAGCAAGAGTATTATTACTAGAATACATACATACTAATAAATAAGAATAATAAGAAGAATACGTATAATACAATAATTATATAATACATGTATACATAATATAAATTATTATAAGACTATGTACATACTAATAAATAATAATATGTATAATAATAATAGTATACATAATAATACTACATATAATAATAATCCAAGTATAATATTAATGTACTATAATAACAATTATAATAATAAATGGCTTCGAAAGGCTGTCACTAGATGGCAGTGAATACCACAACAATGTGGAAGCGGTTATGGCTGCCTCCACCTGTCACATAATGACATACTTTATTCATTCTAGAGTATACATCAGGTTTCCATGTTATATATATTGTTTATTATGTCATATTAGATGAATTTTTACAGATAAATCAGCTGTAGAGCTGATATTTGCAAAATATTGAAGGAGTATTTTGTCCTGTCTCCAAACTCTCATATGCTGTTGGCACCACTACGTAGTCACATACGTAATGACATATTTTATTCATTCTAGAGTATATATCAGGTTTCTGTTATTTATATTGTTTATTATGTCATATTAGATGACATTTGATAGATAAATAAGCCGTAGAGTTGATATTAGGGAAATATTGAAGTAGTATTCTGTCGTGCCTGGAATTCCACTGGAATGGATTAATTCCATTTCAATTAATTTAAATGAGGAAAACTGACTCAACAAACGAGCAAATCGAGATGCGAGCAACGTCACAGAAAGGATTAAACTTGTAAGTAGATGTTCCACTGTATCTGCAATGAGCTAGATCTTTCTCCACTGAAAATCCAAATAAAGACATGTAAACACATGCTAAGGCCATTCTTTATTTTTTGCTCTGGGTTTGTCCCCCCCAATGAAAATTACTTATGCCTTCTAAGGGGGAGCTCCTCCCTAATTAGGAACTGCTAACAGGGTACCTCCACTGTAAAATAATTAGAAACTAAATGAATTTTTATTATATAAAGTTTTGACAATAGAATTTGCAATGTGAAATAAAATAACTCCTGAAGCAAGAGTAAACTGTTGTGAATGTTTTACAGAAGCTACTTACAGATTTGTGAACAGCTATACAGCACTCTGCAAGCCTGAGCCAGAGACGTGGGTTCATGGAATACACTTGTAGAACTTCAAGCAGAAAATCAAAAGCTTTGTCAGGTTTGTTCATATGTAGAAGAGTTACTCCAAGATTGTAATAAAGTTCTGGCTGAACATTGCTGCTGAGCTGATAGAGGGGACGACTAGATAACGTATCACCTGTTTTGGGGAGAGATTCATCAGTACTTTAAAAAGCATGATTCTGGTCTAAATATTAAAGTATATGAACTTGTGAAAATAGTACCTCTTCAATATTTATCTAAATACTATACAGTACAGAAAACCATTGGTTAGCATACAATCTGTTAACACTTCTGCAGTAACTCTGTTGTAAAATTGCTGTATACTTTCAGTGAAAACACCAAAATAGTTTACACAGCAGAGTATGTGTAGGAGAAAATGTCACACGTGTCAGGTTCTTTCCCTTAAGTTTCATTGTGAGGGTACAGAAGAATCTAATGTCTTATTGGGAGGCCTACTTAAGGTACACAACCTCTTTTGCCTCAGTGGTCCACTTGTTTGTGTCTAATACCATGCCTCAGCTACACACCTCTGTCATATCACTCACCTCCAACCATTTCTTACTGCATATCCAATAACCTTCACCCACACAACTTACCCAGTCAAACACCTTCAACACTATCCCAATACCCACATAACCTGCCCATACCATTTCCCCCCCACAGCCACATGCCTACATCTACACCATTTCTCCAAAGTCCACATGGCCTCCACCCAAACCATTCACCCCACAAAACTCCCACACATCTTCAAGCCCAAAGTCCCAAGCCTAGAGCCTCATGCACACACCTTATTAATGCCTTAATGACCTACACACCCTAGTAAGATGATCACACAGTCATGTAGCCACCCATCACCCTCATTAACACCTACACCGCCAACTACACACTCACTCACCCAGTCACATAGCATCCCCACCACCACACACACACAACTCACACTGAGCCACTGACAATGCCACCCATGCAGTCACCATCACCATCAAGAAATGTGACTACTTTTACCACATTCTTCAGCTCATTTTACACAATTTCTTATTAGATGCCATTTTCAGGAACATACCTATCTTGTTAATCAAAAGTCAACTGTACATCATCTCTTCATAAAGCCAACATGATATATTTTAACTGAAGCTATTCTTGCCTCAGTGAGAGATGGTCAACGTGTTGAGAATATATATATAGCCACTCCTCACTTAACAATGGAGTTCCGCTCCTAAGACCACGTTGGTAAACAAATCTGTCACTAAGTGAGGAGCATACTATAATGGTAGTGGGTTTGTGTTAACCATTTTTGATATTGTTTTAATGTCACCTTTGCACCATTTATAACATTTCTGGTATATTTTTAAATGTTTATAAAGTATTGTACTGTATATTGCAATAAATAGAACAGAGGACATCAGCTGTACTATACATTATTTAGGAATGCATACAGGTCAGAGAGCCTGTTGTAAGTCTGAGGCATTGGTAAATGAGTACGTCGCTGAGGAAAGGCTGTATATGTTGCCATCATATTTGGAGAAAATATAGAACTGCAATACAAAATGGGCTATATTAATGGCTAATATTAATATTTCAAATAAATCTCTATTCATTCTACATCCAACATGCTACAATTATCCTAAATTTCCATTATTTAAGCTCAACTACACACCATTATTCATTATTAATAGGGAGAATTTATCTCTGCTGTTAACAAGTTCACTCACTAACACGGAGTATATCTCAGGTCAGTTACATTCACTCTTAACCCTTAAACGGTTCAAACGTATATATACGTTCTCTCGCATAGCGCCCCAAACTTATATACATGTATACGTTTCCTTTGTCATTCATTCAACATTGGCACGATAAGCCTGAGTCACCTAAACATAAGAGAATGGGTGTGCGCACTCACTGTGCGCCATATGAAAAAACTGGGGACACCTGGGTACCATATGCTCTTTTTTCCTATTAAAAAAAAAAAAACAATTTTTTTTTTTCTCAAAAAATTTGGGGTGCTATGCGAGAGAACATGTATATACGTTTGGACCGTTTAAGGGTTAAGAGCTAATACATAAAGAATACAAACATTCCTGTACAATGAACAATACTGCTTCTATTAGTCTATTAAACTGTACTGAGATTTTTTTATACACAACAGTAATTACTCTGTTGTTAACACTATTGTAATAATTATTATTATTTATTTATTATCACACTGGCCGATTCCCACCAAGGCAGGGTGGCCCGAAAAAGAAAAACTTTCACCATCATTCACTCCATCACTGTCTTGCCAGAAGGGTGCTTTACGCTACAGTTTTTAAACTGCAACATTAACACCCCTCCTTCAGAGTGCAGGCACTGTACTTCCCATCTCCAGGACTCAAGTCCGGCCTGCCGGTTTCCCTGAATCCCTTCATAAATGTTACTTTGCTCACACTCCAACAGCACGTCAAGTATTAAAAACCATTTGTCTCCATTCACTCCTATCAAACACGCTCACGCATGCCTGCTGGAAGTCCAAGCCCCTCGCACACAAAACCTCCTTTACCCCCTCCCTCCAACCCTTCCTAGGCCGACCCCTACCCCGCCTTCCTTCCGCTACAGACTGATACACTCTTGAAGTTATTCTGTTTCGCTCCATTCTCTCTACATGTCCGAACCACCTCAACAACCCTTCCTCAGCCCTCTGGACAACAGTTTTGGTAATCCCGCACCTCCTCCTAACTTCCAAACTACGAATTCTCTGCATTATATTCACACCACACATTGCCCTCAGACATGACATCTCCACTGCCTCCAGCCTTCTCCTCGCTGCAACATTCATCACCCATGCTTCACACCCATATAAGAGCGTTGGTAAAACTATACTCTCATACATTCCCCTCTTTGCCTCCAAGGACAAAGTTCTCTGTCTCCACAGACTCCTAAGTGCACCACTCACTCTTTTTCCCTCATCAATTCTATGATTCACCTCATCTTTCATAGACCCATCCGCTGACACGTCCACTCCCAAATATCTGAATACGTTCACCTCCTCCATACTCTCTCCCTCCAATCTGATATTCAATCTTTCATCACCTAATCTTTTTGTTATAATTGATGCTATTAATTTTGTATGCACATATGATGCAGTACCTGATTGTGTTGAGCTTGGGTCTTCAGCCACTTGTGTTTCTTGAAGTGCCTTCTGCAGGTACAGGCAGGCTACAGTGGGCTTGCCCAGACCAAGATGTATTACACCTAAGTTGTTGTAATACATCACACCTAAACTAGGACCATAAGTTCTAGAAAAGGGACAAGAAACAAAATTACAGGTAGAATATTATCTTCATATAAGTTTGCCATATTATGATATGCTTAATAAACACTCATTACACTAATTCAACAGAAAATAATAGAAAGAAAATAGTATTTCTTCTCTTCTTCTTTCAACAAACTGGCTGTATCCCACCGAAGTAGGGCAGCCCATAAAGAAAAACAAAAGCTTTCCTTTTTAACTTCAGTAATGTAAACAGGAAAGGGGTTACTAGCCCCTTGCTCCTGGCATTTTAGTCACCTCTTTTGACATGCATGGCTTAAAGAGGAAGAATTCTGTTCCACTTCCCCATGGAGAGAAATAGTATTTTTTTTTTTAGCAAGTCGGCTGTCTCCCACCGAGGCAGGGTGACCCAAAAAGAAAGAAAATCCCCAAAAACAAAATACTTTCATCATCATTCAACACTTGCACCTCACTCACACAATCACTTTTTGCAGAGGTGCTCAGAATACAGCAGTTTAGAAGTACGTACATACGTATAAAGATACACAACACATCCCTCCAAACTGCCAATATCCCAAAACACCTCCTTTAAAATGCAGGCATTGTACTTCCCATTTCCAGGACTCAAGTCCGGCTATATAAAATAACCGGTTTCCCTGAATCCCTTTACTAAATATTACCCTGCTCACACTCCAACAGCACGTCAGGCCCCAAAATTACCTTTCGTCTCTATTCACTCCTATCTAACACGCTCACGCACGCTTGCTGGAAACCCAAGCCCCTCGCCCACACAACCTCCTTTACCCCCTCCCTCCAACCCTTTTGAGGACGACCCCGACCCAGCCTTCCTTCCCCTACAGATTTATACGCTCTCCATGTCATTCTACTTTGATCCATTCTCTCTAAATGACCAAACCACCTCAACAACCCCTCATCAGCCTTCTGACTAATACTTTTATTAACTCCACACTTTCTCCTAATTTCCACACTCCGAATTTTCTGCATAATATTTACACCACATACAACCCTTAGATAGGACATCTCCACTGAATCCAACTGCCTCCTCGCTGTAGCATTTACAACCCAAGCTTCACACCCATATAAGAGTGTTGGTACCACTATACTTTCATACATTCCCTTCTTTGCCTCCATAGATAACGTTCTTTGTCTCCACATATACCTCAACGCACCACTTGCCTTTTTTCCCTTATCAATTCTATGATTAACCTCATCCTTCATAAATCCATCCACTGATACGTCAACTTCCAAATATCTGAAAACATTCACTTCTTCCATACTCCTCCTCCCCAATTTGATATCCAATTTTTTTTTATCTAAATCATTTGATACCTTACTCTTTTCTATGTTCACTTACAACTTTCTACCTTTACACACACTCCTAAATTCGTCCACTAACCTCTGCAATTTTCCTTTAGAATCACTCATAAGCACAGTATCATCAGCAAAAAGTAACTCACTTCCCATTTTGTAATCGATTCCCCATAATTTAATCCCACCCCTCTCCCGAACACCCTAGCATTTACTTCTTTTACAACCCCATCTATAAATATATTAAACAACCATGGTGACATTACACATCCTTGTCTAAGACCTACTTTTACTGGGAAGTAGTCTCCCTCTCTTCTACACACCCTAACCTGAGCCTCACTGTTCTCATAAAAACTCTTTACAGCATTTAGTAACTTACCACCTATTCCATATACTTCCAACGTCTGCCACATTGCTACCCTATCCACTATCATATGCCTTTTCTAAATCCATAAATGCAATAAAAACTTCCCTACCGTTATCTAGATACTGTTCACATATATGCTTCAATGTAAACACCTGATCTACACATCCCCTACCCACTTTAAAATCTCCTTGCTCATCCACAATCCTACATTCTGTCTTACCTCTAATTCTTTCAATAATCACCCTACTGTACACTTTTCCTGGTATACTCAGTAAACTAATTCCTCTATAATTTTTACAATCTCTTTTGTCCCCCTTCCCTTTATATAAAGGGACTATACATGCTCTCTGCCAATCCCTAAGTACCTTCCCCTCTTTCATACATTTATTAAAAAAAAATACCAACCACTCCAACATTATATCCTCCCCTGCTTTTAACATTTCTGTCATGGTCCTGTCAGTTCCAGCTGCTTTACCCCCTTTCATTCTACGTAATGCCTCACTCACCTCCCCCACACTTACATCCTGCTCTTCTTCACTCCTAAAAGATGGTATACCTCCCTGGCCAGTGCATGAAATTACCGCCTCCCTTTCTTCGTTGACATTTAGAAGTTCCTCAAAGTATTCTCGCCATCTATCCAATACCTCCATCTCCCCATCTACTATCTCTCCTACTCTGTTTTTAACTTACAAATCCATTTGTTCCCTAGGCTTTCTTAACTTGCTTAACCCTTTCAGGGTCCGCAGGCCCTCTCCCAGGCTTGTTCTCAGGGTCTCCCAAATTTAAAAAAAAAAAAATTGCTTTTTCTTATGAAAAGAGAATCATTTCCCGATCATAATGACACCAAAAGTATTTAATTTGATGGAAAACTTACGGAATCATGCTCTCGCGAAGTTAGCGGTCTCGACAATGTGGGCTCAAAGTGGGCAAAATCGCATCAGCGACTTTGCCCACTTTGAGCCCTATTTTCAGCCAATTCCAGTGTACTAGTCGACAAAAATCAAACCCATTTCGCTAGAACTCAATTTTTTCTATCAAATGAGTACAAGAAACCACCCATTTACCAATTTCAACTATCCAATACAGTGGTCAGAATTTAGCAATTTTGCCAATTTCACACAAATTTCAAAAGATGCCAATTTCCAAACAGGGTCCAGATTAAACAAGACATTCCTGGCACTAAAATAACATTTCCTCTGTTCATTAGTCACGTCCCCATGCCCCTCTTACATTTTTTGCTTTCCACTCTCACAAAAAATAGAAGATTTACTGTTATGCATACTACTGCATTAGTGTAGAAATGGTATAAATAATATCAGTGCACTTGTGAAAGAATATTAGACTCACCAGTTGACGTGTATTGGATGCTTAGCATGATTTGTTTACTTTTGAACTTTGGTAAAAATCGAACATTTCTGCTACTTTGAGCTCAATTTCAAGGTACTTTTCTTTGTAAAACCAGTCAAAATCATCACAATTTCTGTAATGCGTCTTCCATTCTATAAAATGAGACCAGGAAAACTAGAATACAACAATAAATACCATACGAAAATACAGTGCAAAGTTGCTGTTTTTAATCCAAAAACACGGTCAAAGTTCTTTTTTTCTCATTACACACTGTGTGCTGCAGGATTTTTTTTATACTGCACACACTGACCACATAGACCCATTCTTTCATATGTAGGCCTACTAGCTTTCTCTCACTAGATTTGAGGGCGCTAGAATTTAGGCATACTAGTACGTCAAAAACCCTGGTACGTAAGCCGTACTAATACATCCGAAACCCTGAAAGGGTTAACTCGCTCCAAATTTTTTTCTTATTTTCATTAAAATTTTTTGACAGTGCCTCTCCCACTCTATCATCTGCTCTCCTTTTGCACTCTCTCACCACTCTCTTCACCTTTCTTTTACTCTCTGTATACTCTACTCTTCTTATAACACTTCTGCTTTGTAAAAACCTTTCATAAGCTAACGTTTTCTCTTTTACCACACCCTTTACTTCATCATTCCACCAATCACTCCTATTTCCTCCTGCACCTACCCTCCTATAGCCACAAACTTCAGTCCCACATTCTAATACTGCATTTTTAAAACTATTCCAAACATCTTCACCCCCCCCACTACTCATTCTTGCACTAGCCCACCATTCTGTCAATAGTTGATTATACGTATTTCACCCTAACTTCCTTCTCCCTTAGTTTATACACTTTCACCTCTAACTTACTTGTTGTTGCCATTTTCCTTTTGTCTCATCTACTTCTTACTCTAACTGTAGCTATAACTAAATAATGATCTGATACATCTGTTGCCCCTCTATAACATGTACATCCTAAAGCCTACCCATCAACCTTTTATCCACCAATACATAATCTAACAAACTACTTTCATTCCATGCTCTATCATATCTTGTATACTTATTTATCCTCATTTTCATAAAATATGTATTACTTATTACCAAACCTCTTTCTACACATGGCTCAATTAAAGGCTCCCCATTTTCATCTATCCCTGGTACCCCAAATTTACCTACTACTCCCTCAACAACATTTTTACCTACTTTAGTATTGACATCCCCAACCACAAGAACTCTCTCACTTGGTTCAAAACTCCCCAAACTCACTCAATATTTCCCAAAATCCCTCTCTGTACTCCATACTTCTCTCTTCTCCAGGTGCATAAACACTTACTAAAACCCACTTTTCACATCCAATCCTTATTTTACTCCATGTAATCCTTGAATTTATGCATTTATATTCCCTATTTTCCTGCCATAACTTATCCTTCAACATTATTGCTACTATTCCTTTAGCTCTAACTATTAGAAACTCCTGACCTAATCCCATTAATTTCTCCCCACTGAAAGTCTCCCACCCCCTTCAGCTTTGTTTCACTTAACCCTTCGAGGATTTCGGCCGTACTAGTACGGCTTACGACCCAGGGTTTTTGACGTACTAGTACGCCTAAATTCTAGCACCCTCAAATCTAGTGGGAGAAAGCTGGTAGGCCTACATATGAAAGAATGGGTCTATGTAGTCAGTGTGTACAGTATAAAAAAAATCCTGCAGCACACAGTGCATAATGAGAAAAAAAAACTTTAACCGTTTTTTTGGAATAAAACAGCGACTTTGCACTGTATTTTCATATGGTATTTATTGCTGTATTCTAGTTTTCTTGGTCTCATTTTATAGAATGGAAGACATATTACTGAAATTGAGATGATTTTGACTGGTTTTACAATGAAAAGTACCTTGAAATTGAGCTCAAAGTAGCAGAAATGTTCGATTTTTACCAAAGTTCAAAAGTAAACAAATCATGCCAAGCGTCCAATACACGTCAACTGGTGAGTCTAATATTCTTTTGCAAGTGCACCAATATTATTTATACCATTTTTTACACTAATGCAGTAGTCTGCATAACAGTAAATCTTCTATTTTTTGTGAGAATAAAAATTCAAAGTGGAAAGCAAAAGAATGTAAAAGGGGCCTTGAGACGTGACTAATGAACAAAGAAAATGTCATTTTAGTGCCAGGAATGTCTTTCTTGTTTATTCTGGAACCTATTCGGAAATTGGCATCTTTTGAAATTTGTGTGAAATTGGCAAAATTGCTAAATTCTGACCACTGTACTGGATAGTTTAAATTGGTAAATGGGTGGTTTCTTGCACTCATTTGATAGAAAAAATGGAGTTCTAGCGAAATATTCACGTTTTTTGATGACTAGTGCAGTGGAATTGGCTGAAAATGGGGCTCGAAGTGGGCAAAACCGCCGATGCGTAAACATCGCCGAGACCGCTAACTTTGCGAGAGCATAATTCTGTAAATTTTCCATCAAATTTCATAATTTTGGTGTCATTATGATCGGGAAAAGATTCTCTATCTTTTCATAAGAAAAAAAAATTTTTTTTTTTTTAAATTTGGCCGACCCTGAGAACGAGTCTCGGAGAGGGCCTGTCGACCCTCAAAGGGTTAAAGCCAGGACATCCACCTTCTTCTCATTCATAACATCCACAATCATCTCTTTCTTATCATTCATACAACATCCACAGACATTCAAACATCCCACTTTGACGGTTTTCTTCTTTTTCTTTTTAGTAAGATATATGGGAAAAGGGGTTACTAGCCCATTGGTCCCGGCATTTTAAATTCAAATTCATTGACTTTTACAACGGGCATGGCTTATGGAGGAAAGATTCTTATTTCACTTCCCCATGGATATGAAAGGAAAAGCAATAAGAACAAAAACTATTAAGATAAAATCAAAGAAAACTCAGATAACTGTGTATACATAAACGTGTACGTGTATGTGTAGTGTGACCCAAGTGTAAAAAGAAGTACCAAGATATACCTTAAATCTTGCATTTTTATGAGACAGAAGAGAGACACCAGCAATCCTACCATCATGTAAAAGAAATACGTACAGGCTTCTTTTTTACACTCACTTGGTAGGATGGTACTACCTCCCCGAATGGTTGCTGTCTAGCAACCTACTACCTATTAAGATTAAATAAAATTGTAATACAGTTAACCTCTACTATCTTGTCTAGTTTTAAGTAGTTACTATGTACTATTATCTGCCTAGTTTTAAGTAGTTTCTATGTATTAGGATTAGTCTGCCCAAAATGCCCTGGCATGATAGTGGCTTTCTTTGTACTTATCAAACCAAAATTGTAATTACACATCATAACCTTTACAAAGAAATAAATCTTTACCTTTATCTTGTATCTTTATAAACAAACATGTTCATATACAAAAGAGAAGATTTACAATGACAATACATACTAGTTACTGAATATTCACACAATATTCACACAACACATCTTAGATAATGTATTGGTGGATAAAAGGTTGATGGGTAGGCTTCAGGATGTACATGTTTATAGAGGGGGCAAAAGATATATCGGATCATTATCTAGTTGTAGCTACAGTTAGAATAAGAGGTAGATGGGACAAAATGAAAATGGTAACAGTAAGAGAAAGGTGAAAATTTATAAACTCAGGGAGGAGGAAGTTAGGGCGAGATACAAGCAACTTTTGGCAGAAAGGTGGGCTAGTGCAAGTATGGGTAGTGGGGGAGGGCAAGGGGGTTGGGGGAAGTTGATGAGGAATGGAATAGCTTTAAAAATGCAGTATTAGAATGTGTGGCTATAGGAGGGAGGGTTCAGGAGGAAAGAGGAGTGATTGGTGAAATGATGAGGTAAAGGGTGCAGTACAAGAGAAAAAGGTAGCTTATGAGAGGCTTTTATGAAGCACAAGTGATATAAAAGCAGAGTATATGGAGAGTAAAAGAAAGGTGAAGAGAGTGGGGAGAGAGAGCAAAAGGAGAGCAAATGAGAATGGAAGAGGCACAATCAAGAAATTTTGTTGAGAATAAGAAAAAAAATTTGAGTGAGATCACCAAGTTAAGAAAGCCTAGGGAACGAATGGATTTGTTAGTTAAAAACAGAGTAGGGGAGTTAGTAGATGGGGAGCTGGAGGTATTGGGTAGATAGTGGGAATATTTTGAGGAACTTTTAAATGTTGATGAAGGGAGGCAGCAATTTCATGCACTGGCCAAGGAGGTATAACATCTTTTAGAAGTGAAGAGCAGGATGTGAGTGTGGGGGAGATGCGCGAGGCATTACATAGAATGAAAGGGGGTAAAGTAGCTGCAACTGATGGGATCATGACAGAAATGTTAAAAGCAGGAGGGGATATAGTGTTGGAGTAGTTGGTATTTTTGTTTAATAAATATATGAAAGAGGGGAAGGTACCTAGTGATTGGCAGAGAGCATGTACAATTCCTTTCTTTAAGAGGAAGGGGGACAAAAGATACTGTAAAAATAATAGGGGAAGAAGTTTACCGAGTCTCCATGGGGAAGTGGAACAGAATTCTTCCTCCGTAAGCCATGCATCTCTTAAGAGTTGATTAAAATGCGGGGAGCATGGGCTAGTAACTCCTTCTCCTGTATACATTACTAAAGTTAAAAAAGAGAAACTTTTGTTTTTCTCTTTGAGCCACCCTGTTTCGGTGAGATACAGCCAGTTTGTTGAAAGAACAAAAAAGAAGTTTACTGAGTATACCAGTTAAAGTGTTATTACTGAAAGAATTAGAGGTAAGAGAGAGAGAGAGCAGGATTACAGATGAGCAAGGAGGCCTTAGAATGGGTAGTGGATGTGCAGATCAGGTGTTTACAATGAAGCATATATGTGAACAGTATGTAGATAAAGGTAGGGAAGTTTTCTTTGCATTTATGGATTTAGAAAAGTCATATGATAGAATGGATAGGGGAGCAATGTGGCAGATGTTGCAAGTGTATGGAATAGGTATTAAGTTACTAAAGGTGTAAAGAGCTTTTATGAGGATATTGAGGCTCAGGTTAGGTGGTGTGTAGGAGAGAGGGAGATTACTTCTCAGTAAAAGTAGGTCTTAGACAGGGATGTGTAATGTCACCATGGTTGTTTAACATATTTTTAGATGGGATTGTAAAAGAAGTAAATGCTAGGGTGTTGGTGAGAGGGGTGGGATTAAATTATGGGGAACCAAATACAAAATGGGAGTTGACACAGTTACTTTTTGCTGATGATACTATGCTTTTGGAGGATTCTAAAGAAAAGTTGTAAAGGTTAGTGGACAAGTTTGGGAAGGTTTGTAAAGGTAGAAAGTTGAAAGTGAATATAGATAAAAGAGTAAGGTCATGAGTGTATCAATGATTTACATAAGAAAAACTGGATATCACAATGGAGGGAGGGAGTATGGAAGAAGTGAATGTTTTCAGATATTTGGGAGTTGACTTGTCAGTGGATGGATTTATGAAGGATGAAGTAAACCGTAGAATTGATGAAGGGAAAAAAGGTGAGTGGTGCACTGAGGCATCAATGGAGACAAAGAATGTTATCCATGGATGCAAAGAAGGGAATGTACAAGAGTATAGTGGTACCAACACTCTTTTATGGGTGTGAAGTATAGGTTGTAAATGCTGCAGCGAAGAGGTGGCTAGAGGCAGTGGAGATGTCGTGTCTAAGGGCAATGTGTGGTGTAAATGTTATACAGAGAATTCGTAGTGTGGAAATTAGGAGAAGGTGTGGAGTTACTAAAAGTATTAGTTAGGCTGTTGAGGTGGTTTGGTCATTTAAAGAAAATGGAACAAAGTAGAATGACTTTGAGAACATATAAATCTATTTGGGAAGCAAGGTGGGGTAGGGGTTGTCCCCAAAAAGGTTGGAGGGAGGGGATAAAGAGAGGTTTTGTGGGCAAGGGGCTTGGACTTCCAGCAAGTGTAGGTAAGCACGTTAGATACGAGTGAATGGAGATGAATGGTTTTTGGAACCTGACGAGCTGTTGGAGTTTGAGAAGGGCAACATTTTGTGAAAGGATTCAGAGTAACCGGTTAGCCAGACCTCAGTCCTGGAAATGGAAAGTACAATGCCTGCACTTTAAAGGAGGGGTTTAGGATATTGGCAATTTGGACTGACGTCTAAGCTGTCGTATCTGAGTGCCTCTGCAAAGACAGTGATTATGTATGAGTTATGGTGAAAGTGTTGAATGATGAAAGTTTTTTTCTTTCTTTTTGTGTCACCCTGCCTTGGTGGGAAACAACCAAATTGTTAAAAAAAAAAAATCTTATTTGCAGGATGTTTGTGTACTGTTCCAGTCACAGTATTATGCTTTTTTATTCTTTATTAATACAGTGGACCCCCGCTTAACGATCACCTCCCAATGCGACCAATTATGTAAGTGTATTTATGTAAGTGCGTTTGTACGTGTATGTTTGGGGGTCTGAAATGGACTAATCTACTTCACAATATTCCTTATGGGAACAAATTCGGTCAGTACTGGCACCTGAACGTACTTCTGGAATGAAAAAATATCGTTAAACGGGGGTCCACTGTATTATAGTAACAGTGAAGCACTAAAACCAGTAAAGGTCACATAGCACATGGGGAATGGCATAACAGTCCCAATACCTTGGATCAAGAGCTCTTCACCAATGTCTCAATAATAGATTTACAGTTTACAGATTACCAGTTTGTAATCAATCAAAAATCTGTGTATAAGCAGTGTCATGTACATTATAGAACTGGTCTGGGCATATTTTTTTTTTTTTTTTTTACAAATGAAAGATTACCTAAAAGGCATACTTACAGGCTAGGTGGTGGTATTGCTGCACACTGATTGAGCACTTTAATTGCCTTGCGAAAATTACCCCGAAGATATTCTAACTGACTCTTCAGACTAATGAGAGTTACATTCTGCAAAATAACAAAATTTAAATTATTCAGTATTTGGTTAATCTATTAGAAATTTGGGTAAAATGGTACCAAGGGTAAATGGAGAATATTTTTAACTAAATTTAAAACATATATACTACTGAAGCAAATTATGTCTTTACAAATGACCATGGATTATATAAGCCATGGTCATAACATTTTGATTAATGTAGTTTTTTCTTTGCAACACATCGGCCATCTCCCACCGAGGCAAGGTGACTCAAAAAAAATAAATACTTTCACCATCATTCACACATAATCATTGTCTTTGCAGAGGTGCCTAGATATGACAGTGTAGATGTCACTCCAAACAGCCAATATCCTAAACCCCTCCTTTAGAGTGCAGGCATTGTACTTCCCATTTCCAGGACTCAGATCTGGCTAACCAGTTTCCCTGAAACCCTTCACAAAATATTACCCTGCTCACACTCCAACAGCTTGTCAGGTCCCAAAAACCATTCCTCTCCATTCACTCCTATAACACTCTCACATAAGCCTGTTGCATGTCTATGTCCCTCTTTTACTCCCTCCCCCATCATTTCCTAGGACAACACCTACCCCTCCTCCCCTCCACTACATATTTATACACCCCCCAAGTCATCCTATTTTGCTCCATCCTTTCTAACTGACCAAACCATCTCAAAAGCCCCTCCTCAGCCCTCTGAAAATGTAATACTTTTTGTAACTCCACACCTCCTCCTCCAAATTTCCACACTACAAATCCTCTGCATAATATTTACACCACACGTTGCCCTTAGATACGACATCTTCACCACCTCCAGCCTCCTCTTCACTGTAGCATTTACAACTCATGCTTCACACCTACATAAAAGTGTTGGTATCACTATACTCTCTTACATTCCCTTCTTTGCTTCTATGGATTACATTTTCTTGTCTCCACAGATACCTCAATGCATTGTACTGTACAAAACATAAAAAATACAAAAATATAAAAAAAAAAGATACCAGCAATCCTACCATCATGTAAAACAATTACAGGCTTTCATTTTACACGGAACTGGTAGGATGGTAGTACCTCCCTGGGCAGTTGCTGTCTATCAACCTCCTACCTAGAAAATATGTTAACATGTTGAATAAAGTATCTAATCTCTATAATTCACATTGTTCAAGACCAATAAATTACAAAGAAAAGAGTAAACAACTTATGGTTAAATAAAGGCACTGAGGTCCACTGACAAAAAAACAACTATGAAAAGATACAGGCAGACCCCACTTATACATCAAGTTAGGTTCTGGGCTACTGCTATAAAGCAAAAATCACTGTAAAGTGGAACAGCCCCTTTTCACTTTCCAATGCATATACAAGCCTGATAACAAGTTTATTCTATCATATATTAAGTGAGCAATTGAGCTAGGTCTAAAAAATGCATATACACTACACGCATAACTTACCTTAAAATATTTTAGTCCTTGGCTTATAGTGAGTGGTGAATATATTTATTATAGGAAGTCTGAATAAATGAAGAATGGGTGTAACTGAAAACTTCTGTAATAGCGAAGTGTGTAAAGCGGGTCCCTCCTATAATAAACAGCACAAACATTTTCTTGAACACTTGCCAATCCAATTAAAAGAAATCAAAACAATTACACCACTTGAACAAATACAGTGGAACCTTGGTATGTGACCTTTATTCATTCCAGAAGGCAGTTCAAAGGGGTCGTAACCCTTCACCATGCGGAGTAAAAAAAAAAATAGAAAAAAAATACGAAAATTGAGTCGTTACCAAAAAATAGCTGAACTTTCTGGCTACACTCTGGTATAATTATCATCCTTATACGATGTTTCTAAAAGGAATTATAGTCATTTATAACAAGCATGGTGACAGCGCCTTGCATAACAAGCACTGACGCGGCATTGCCCCCCCCCCTTGTGTTATTTTTATCGTTTTCTTATATCTTTTTGTCTAATATAATACAAATTCACTATGTGAGATCATGGCAGAGCTAATATGGTCAAGGAACCAATTGGGAACCTCCCCTGGGAATAGTGCCCAAGATGGCCAACACCACCAGCGAACAAAATATTCCATACCCACGCTAATATCAATTATAAGGCTTATTTACCTATCACAATTGATCTAATATGACATGAGGCAATATAATAATAGCATAGAAACATAAAAAGTACACCAGAAAAAATAATATATAGCATAATATGATGGCCAAGATGCGAAAAAAATCTAGGGATATATCCCATGAAGGTGAAAAACCCATTCTCTCATCACTATGAGAGAAAAACGGAGATTTACAATGGTTAATTGTAATAAACACTCGTAGGTTACGGAAAAAGTGTAAAAGAAAGCAAATTTTTTTAAAAAAAAAAAAAAAATTCCCCAGGCACCTGGGGTGCCACGCGCTTCGGCCTATACAGTGGAACCTCGCCTAACGAAAGCATCGCATAATGTTAAATCCGCCTAGCGATACATTTTAACGCAAAAATTTTGCCTCGGCTAGCGCTAAAAAACTCGCTCAACGCAGTTCATTCGAGACGTGTCCACGTGTGGCCTGAGCCTGCCTCACTTGTTCCGTGGGTGCCAGTGTTTACAAGCCAGCCACCGTGGTCGCTTCCAAGCATACAATCGGAACATTTCATGTTATCACAGCATTTTTAGTGATTACACCTGCAAAATAAGTCACCATGGGCCCCAAGAAAGCTTCTAGTGCCAACCCTACAGCAAAAAGAGTGAGAATTACTATGGATATGAAGAAAGAGATCATTGCTAAGTATGAAAGTGGAGTGCGTGTCTCCGAGCTGGCCAGGTTGTACACAAAACCCCATTCAACCATCGCTATTATTGTGGCCAAGAAAACGGCAATCAAGGAAGCTGTTCTTGCCAAAAGTGCAACTTTGTTTTCGAAACAGAGATCGCAAGTGATAGAAGATGTTGAGAGACTGTAATTGATGTGGATAAACGAAAAACAGATAGCAGGAGATAGCATCTCTCAAGCGATCATATGTGAAAAGGCTAGGAAGTTGCATGACGATTTAATTAGAAAAATGCCTGCAACTAGTGATGATGTGAGTGAATTTAAGGCCAGCAAAGGTTGGTTTGATAGATTTAAGAATCGTAGTGGCATACATAGTGTGATAAGGCATGGTGAGGCTGCCAGTTCGGACCACAAAGCGGCTGAAAAATATGTGCAGGAACTCAAGGAGTACATAGACAGTGAAGGACTGAAACCTGAACAAGTGTTTAATTCTGGCGAAACAGGCCTGTTTTGGAAGAAAACGCCAAACAGGACGTGCATTACTCAGGGGGAAAAGGCACTCCCAGGACATAAGCCTATGAAAGACAGGCTTACTCTGTTGATGTGTGCCAATGCTAGTGATGATTGCAAAGTGAAGCCTTTATTGGTGTATCACTCTGAAACTCCCAGAGTGTTCAGGAAAAACAATGTCCTCAAGGCTAATTTGTGTGCTGTGGAGGGCAAACAGTAAGGCATGGGTCACTAGGGACTATGACTGGTTACACCATGCATTTGCCCCCACAGTGAAAAATTACCTAATTGAAAAGAAATTAGAACTTAAGTGCCTCCTGGTATCAGACAATGTTCCTGGTAATCCTTCAGATGTGGCAGAGCGACTTTCTGCGGAAATGAGCTTCATTAAGGTCAAGTTTTTGCCTCCTAATACCACTCCTCTCCTACAGCCCATGGACCAGCAGGTCATTTCCAACTTCAAGAAACTGTACACAAAAGCTATGTTTGAAAGGTGCTTTGTAGTGACCTCAGAAACTCAACTGACTCTAAGAGAGTTTTGGAGAGATCACTTTAGCATCCTCAATTGTGTAAACCTTGTAGGTAAGGCTTGGGAGGAAGTGACTAAGAAGACCTTGAACTCTGCTTGGAAGAAACTGTGGCCAGAATGTGTAGACAAAAGGGATTTTGAAGGGTTTGAGGCTAACCCTGGGAATCCTATGCCAGTTGAGGAATCCATTGTGGCATTGGGGAAGTCCTTGGAGTTGGAGGTTAGTGGGGAGGATGTGGAAGAGTTGGTGGAGGAGGACAATGAAGAACTAACCACTGATGAACTGCTAGATCATCTTCAACAGCAAGAGGCCACACCTGAGGAAACTGCTTTGGAGGAGGGGATAGAGAAATTGAGGAAGTTGCCTACTTCAAAGATTAAGGAAATGTGTGCAATGTGGCTTAAAGTGCAAACCTTTTCTGATGAAAATCACCCTCACACAGCTATTGCAAGCCGTGTTGGCAACCTGTACACTGACAATGTTGTGAAACACTTTAGGAATATCATAAAGGAATGGGAGGTACAGGCCTCTATGGACAGATATGTTGTGCGAGAGAGGTCCAGTGACTCTCAAGCTGGTCCTAGTGGCATTAAAAGAAGAAGGGAAGTAACTCCGGAGAAGGACTTGCCACCTCAAGTCCTAATGGAAGGGGATTCCCCCTCTAAACACTAACACCATCAACACTCTCCCCTCCTCCCATCCCATCAATCATCACCAGATCTTCAATAAAGGTAAGTCATGTAACTGTGCATGTCTTCTTCAGTTTGTGTGTATTAAAATTAATATTTCATGTGGTAAAAATTTTTTTTTGTTCATACTTTGGGGTGTCAGGAATGGATTAATTTGATCCATTATTTCTTATGGGGAAAATTAATTCACCTAACGTTGAGCTCTCAGGAACGGATTAATAGCGTTAGGCGAGGGTCCACTGTATCTCGGAAGTAAGTTATTTACCTATTTAGGGTCACTCCATCCTTATTTATGAAGGAACTGACTTGATTTTCACAACAAACATAGAAGAATGATTGCTATACAAGTGACCGATCTCCTTTCTGAAGTATCCCAAATATTTTAGATTTGTGTGGACAACAAGACCGACATCTTCCAAAATGTCAAAAAAGTTATGAAACTATTTTTTTTTAGCATGAAGATAAGGTTTATTTTAGAACCGGTACACAGAACTTAATGGAATTAGTAGTGTTCTATCAGCAGCAAGTGTTAAAACCACTTTTCCAAGTACCACTGAGTACAGGCTCGCTGCCAAATGTAATTTTTCGTAAATTTTGCATATTTCATTTCCTTTTTGGCCGATATTTTTGAAACTTCAGCAAAGCATGGTCGATATAAGCTTCTAATAGTACACTAAAAATGAACGTAATCGGTTGATAAATAAAGAAGTCGAATATTTAAGTTTGAGCACTTCCTCAAGTGCCGCTCCGTTTGAGTATCGAACAAGTTCTTCCCAACCAATTTTCTGTTTGGTTGGCTGTTATCACTAATTGTCCTAGGCCCCATGGTGACTTATTTATACAATACAAAAAAAAAAAAATGTGAAGAACCACAAAATAATTTACAGTGAAGTTCCGGCAGGTCATATTTGTTTGGTTGAGTAGGGAGCTGGTCATATACCGAGTTTCCACTGCATAGTGAAACTAAAGGAAACAAAGAAGACCTGAGAAATTCTTTTCCATATACTGGTATATAAAAAGACTCATTGCAGTAATCAAAACAAACCCTATGTCAGTTATCATCTTATCAGGCTGAAGCACTAAACCTGTGGGAGTCGCGTAGTGCCTAGGGAATGAGAGGCATTCAGATTCAATCCCCCGAGGGGCAGAGAAATTCAGTTTCTTGGATCATCAGCCCCTCCCTGATATTAAGGGAAAGGAGGGGAAAGGGGAGCAATTGTGCTAACTCCACACACACTCGGCTCCCACACCTCAGAAACATCTTAGACATACGTTCAGAGCTCCAAACAAGTGACACTTGAACAATTTTTAGGAATGCAATATTGTTGTATGTGATACACCTATTGTGCTGTATTTACAAGTACTGTACATGTTCCACAGAAATGCAATATCATCATATGTGAGAGACCTATTGTGCTGTATTTACAAATATACTACATGTTTCAGAGGGCATTTAAAAGCATTTTGCCTTACAAGAGAATTTCCGGCTGTGACTGCATGTGTAACAATTGTTTTCAGTTCCTTTTTGGCTACCCTAAGAGCTCTCATCATCAGCATTGCTCGGACTCTTAACTGCTGTAGCTTTCCTCTCAGCTGCTCTTGGGTGGCACTGCATCGGATTTCGTCTGTAGTATTGCTTGTGCTACAGCTGCTGCTGCTACTGCTGCTGCTACTGCTACTACTACTGCTGCCAGTACCTCCAGATACACTACTTTTTTCAGGAGACCTGTTAAAGAATACAAATATTAATTGTCATGACTATTATATTACTGTATAATTATGCACCCATTAATGATCTAAAGAAAAAACATTACAGTGGACCCCCGGCATACGATATTAATCCATTCCTGAGAGCTCATCGTATGCCGAAATTATCGTAAGGCGAATTAATTTTCCCCTTAAGAAATAATGGAAATCAAATTAATCCGTGCAAGACACCCGAAAGAATGAAAAAAAAAAAAAAGTTTTACCGCATGAAATATTAAGTTTAATGCACACAAACTGAAGAAGACATGCACAGTAAGTAGTACTCTGCTTACAATAGAATACATGACACTTACCCTTAATGATGATCCGGTGATGATTGATGGGATGGGAGGAGGAAGGGAGAGTGTCGAACTTATTGTTTAGAAGGGGAATCCCCTTCCATTAGGACTTGAGGTATCAAGTCCTTTTCCGGGGTTACTTCCCTTCTTTTAATGCCACTAGGACCAGCTTGAGAGTCACTGGACTTGTCGCACAACATATCTGTCCATAGAGGCCTGTACCTCTCGTTCCTTTATGATTTGTCTAAAGTGGTTTACAACATTGTCATTGTAATAATCACCAGCATGGCTTGCAATAGCTGTGTGAGGGTGATTTTCATCCATAAAGCCACTTTGCACATATTTCCTTAATCTCTCTTTTCAATTCCATACTAATTCTCACCCTTTTTACCACAGGGATGGCACTAGAAGCTTTCTTGGGGTCCATGGTGACTTATTTTGTAGTTACAAGCACTAAAAACACTGGGATAATGTGAAATGTACCGATTGTATGCGTAGATGCGGCCACACTGGCTGGCTTGTGAACACTGGCACTGAGGCCAGACGTGGGGCTCGTCTCGGACGAATCGCGTGAGGCGAGTTTTTTAATGCGAGGCGAGGCAAAATTTTTGCGTTAAAATGTATCGTATGCTGGATTTAACGTATGCTGATGCCATCGTATGCCAGGGGTCCACTGTATTGTTTGTTATAAGAAAAAAAAAAAAAACTACAGTAGCGAGCATTGAAAAAATACAAATTTTAGAGATGCAAGCTGCACTTTTCAGGCATTATTTGTATGGTCACAACAAACTTCTGTGCAAAATTTCAGACCATTTCATGTTACCCTGCAGCAGCGTGATCAACTTTTCATCAAATTATACACCATAATGTCTAGGCATAATAGAGGCTCTCTTTGCATTATTGTAAATACAAAATCTCAATGTACTATTTGCAAAGACATAAATAAATAAATTAGTTATAATTTATTGGTTGTCAGGATAAAAATCAAGTGTATACAGTTTATATAATGTTTGGTTGTGAAGACTGTATAATCAAATGTACATAGGTATTACAATATTACAAATTTGGCAATGAAGCTTCTGGGGGAAGCTAAATTAATAGGCCTATAGTATAATTAATAAACTCGCCCATTACCAAGCCTGTAACATGCAACATAGTCCGGAGTACAAAAACACATACAATACTTTATAATCTTTACTAGTAAAATCATTGTTTAGCATAAAAGAGTATTTTTAATTTACACAAACATAATAAAATAAGAGTATATTCTTTGGCATTAATATCACATCACACTAACAATGTAGTCATGACCCTACCTACCCCATGTCACAAGACACTACCTTTCCCTAAGTCTCATGACACTCCTGCTACTCTGTCATAAGACACCCTTGTCTCTGTGTTATGACGCTCCTGCTCTCCGTGTCACAAGACACCTTGTTCTCTGCGTCATAACATGCTTCCTCTGTCACTCGACACCCTGTTCTCTGTCATGACACTAACTCGACCGTGTCTTCACACGACACTAACTCGACCGTGTCTTCACACGACACTAACTCGACCGTGTCTTCACACGACACTAACTCGACCGTGTCTTCACACGACACTAACTCGACCGTGTCTTCACACGACACTAACTCGACCGTGTCTTCACACGACACTAACTCGACCGTGTCTTCACACGACACTAACTCGACCGTGTCTTCACACGACACTAACTCGACCGTGTCTTCACACGACACTAACTCGACCGTGTCTTCACACGACACTAACTCGACCGTGTCTTCACACGACACTAACTCGACCGTGTCTTCACACGACACTAACTCGACGTGTCTCACACGACACTAACTCGATCAAGCACTTGATCTTCACACGACACTAACTCGACCGTGTCTTCACACGACACTAACTCGACCGTGTCTTCACAGTCTCTCACAACATCGTGGGATAATCTGCAGGAAATCACGTCCAACCGGTGTGTGTCAAAGTGGTGAACACACATGGTGAACACACTGTCTCTGCCTGAGGCCATCAGGTGAGCTTAGTGGACTTTCAAGCAGTGGTGAACATGCTCGGTGGCGAATACACCCTTTTTGAGGCCGTAAGGCTCAGTGAGCGATGGTGAACACTCTCTGTGGAGAATGCTCTCTTTCTGACACTGAGGCTGTCAAGCAGCCCCCTACATTGGGTGTGCTGACGTCACACAGGGTACTGCCAGGTAACAACCATAGCAGCACCCAAGTGGTCAGTCAACCACCTCCCTTTGTTTCTGGGTTTGCAACAATGGGTTATATCAATCATCAACTATTTAATTTTAAACTATTACAATTTATAAGTTAAATTTTTCTTGGTGCAGAACTTGGGCATCCCTTTCCTGGTAAATATTCTTTGCCTGATATATCCATCTCTTGCTTTCTGTCCAGTCACTTCAGTGCAAGCTTCAGTCATCAATTTTATCCCTCTCTCAACAGCTTGGGTGTTGTATGGCCACTTGGGCACCTCCAGTGGAGTCTCAATAATTTTCAGAACCTGTTGATCTGATAGAGAAGCAATGAAAGGAGGCTCAGTTTTGAGTTCAGTCTTCCAGTCAATTATGGAATGATAGTTCTTTGCTTGCCACTTTAGTTTGGGAATCACTACTTTTCTTGAGTTGACAACAGGAGCCACATTGTCATTCTCTTCATCTTCACTGACATCCTAATCATCAGTGTAGATTAACAAGTCCTCATCAACAGCATCAGCAGAATCTTCTCCATCCTCATCAGAGCTCTCAGTACTTTCTGGCATCTCGTAACTTCTGTGGTTCAATAACTTGACTTAAGTCATCCTTGGTGATAATGCCATAGTCCATTAAGGTGGCAGTAGCAATGGCAGCTCCAGCATAATCACTGATCAAGTATAGGTCACATGTGGTTGCCAATGTGGAGAGTCTTGTTCTGTTCTGCTGTGAGCTGCCAGTCAGACCACTCAAGACAGTCAGCATCAATAATGACAGAAGGGCTATCTCTGGCATCATCTTAATTATCGGCAGAATCAGAAACTTCTCCAGCTGCCGGTTCACTCTCTTTCTTCCAGCTGCTTCCTGGCTCTGGCTGCATCCTGCTCCTCTTTTACTGTTACTCTATTCCACATCCTCGTTACTGTCATGTCAACACAGCCAATTTTCATCTTTTTATCACCTCTCTGGTCAAGGAGGAACTGTACCTTACGTTTAGGAACTTTCACATCGCAATTACAGGCCAGGTGGTATCTGTCACACTTCTTTATTTTGCACCCATCATCTTGACAGGAGGCAGCAGAACAGAAACAACTACATATATCAAACAACTCATTCATTTCTTCCTGAAATGTAGCTTTTTTGGAGACAATTTTGTTCTTATTAAGTTCTATTCCTCTACTGTACAATTTTCTCAGTCCTCTACTGTACAATTTTCTCAATCTTTCCTCAATAGTTTTCTGGCTGAGAATAGGAATAGTCTGTCTCCAATTGACTTCTCCCCCAGTTCAGAACAACCCTTAGCTGATATCTTGATAATCACTGAAACATCAGTAAACTCTCCATCACATTTATATTGCCAGCAGTTCCTTAACATATTGCCTTTGGATGGAAGTTTGTTCACTGGAAGAACAATAGCATGGCCAAACAATGCACATTCTGTGGCTTTCCTTGTTGATATTGTAGCCATCTCAGTAATAAAGTATATAAGTAATCAGAGTATCTGAAAAGAGAGAAAGTTACTTACTGTTTATAAATACTGCAGAGTACATAGATACTCAGTAATACAGTAATGTGCTACTCAGTAATACAGACATATTCCAAAGTTTTAATCGCAAATGCTGTAGGTAAAACCTCAATCAATCAACTTCATATTTGGGACTGAATCTAAGATGCATATAAGGAACAACGCCTGAAGAGTGCAGCTTTGACCAAAATTTCAATGCTCCCTACTGTACAGCACATCCTAATTTTTTTTTTAACAAACCAGCCATATCCCACCGAGGCAGGATGATCAAAAAAGAAAAAACAAAGTTTTTTTCTATTTAAATTTAGTAATTTATATAGGAGAAGGGGTTACTAGCCCCTTGCTCCTGGCATTTTCATCACCTCTTACGACATGCATAGCTTACGGAGGAAGAATTCTTTTCTACTTCCCAATGGAGACATCTTAAATTTATTCTGTAATAATTAACTGTTAGATAAAGACAACAACCATATACAATAATATCTTGTAACCTTAATCTTGGTAAAGTCTGTCTAAAAGGCTGTGTAAAACTAGGAGTTGTTCTACATGAACACTATTTGCAAACTCAGTCAATATAATTTCTCCAGTATATATATAAAAAAATAAATAATACTATTACTACTATTACTAATAATAATACATTATAACTTAGATTTTAAGAAGGCTGTATTCGTAGAGATTTGAATATTCAAATTTCCAACAAATTCTGTTCATACCACAAACCCAACTATGTGGATGTCACATAGGTCTAGGTAATTGATGCCAGGGTTGCTCATGTAGAAGTGTGTTTTGAGATCAGCTCCCTCAGATAAGCCGCAAGTGGTAAATATTGGCCTAGATATAAGAGAATGGGTCTGTGCATTAAGTATGCACAGTATAAAAAAAAAATCCTGCCCTATGCAGTGCATGATGGGAAAAGCAAAATTTTGATCATGTGTTTGGTATAAAATAGCAAATTTGAGAAGTTTTCTAGGATGATTTTTATGGCTTTATTGGCTGTTTCTTGGTATCATTTGATAGAATGAAAGTTATACTACTAAAATAGACATGATTTTGGTTTGTTTCAGAATCAGAAGTAGCTTGAAATTAAGCTCAAAGTAGCAGAAATATTTTTTTTTTTACCAATTTTTCTGAGGATGGATATAGCCCCCCCCCCCTACATTCCCCCAGTCTGTTTTATGTGTTTTTAATAGGTCTAAGTTAATTACTGGGATGCCATAAACCATGTCTAATCATTCCCGACTGTATTTTATTATCCGAGAAATAGGATAAATCTTTTTATTTGATGATGAATTCAAACTGAGAGGCAAATGCAATAAAGGAGTAGCCTAGCGACATGATGAACAGAGGAAACTTTTTAGTGTCAAGAATAGCTACATTGTTTATTCTGGACTATTTTAATTTGAAATTTGTTTTAGTTTGTGTAAAAATGGCCAAATCATTGACTACTGTGCACTTTATAGGGTAGTTCTAATAGCTGAATGGGCAGTTTTTGTGCTTCATCAATAGAACCAATGGCATACTAACAAAATAACTAAAAGCTTGGTCGAAAGGAAAATTGGAATCGAGTTAAAATAGACCTCAAAGTGGGTGAAATAGCCAATGTATAAACTGTGACCAGACCCCTAACTTGATGTCTGCATAATTCCATAAGTTTTCCATCAAACTTTGTACTTTTGATGTCACTTTCAGAAAGGATTTTCTATGATTTCAGAAGAATTTTTTTTTCTTAAACGTGGACACTGGGAGCAATATTACTTTTGTGGGACTGGACAGTGAAAGGGTTAATATACTACCATAAAAAAAAAAATCCAGGATCTGATTCATATTTGTACCTACATTACAACTAATGGTCATTAAGAGAGAATGGATCAGAGTAGAATGATATGGAGAGCGTATAAATCTGTAGAGGAAGGAAGGCGGGGTAGGGGTCATCCTTGAAAAGGTTGGAGGGAGGGGGTAAAGGAGGTTTTGTGGGCGAGGGGCGTGAGCGTGTTAGATAAGAGTGAATGGAGACGAATGGTATTTGGGACCTGACGAGCTGTTGGAGTGTGAGCAGGGTAATATTTAGTGAAGGGATTCAGGGAAACTGGTTATTTTATATAGCCGGACTTGAGTCCTGGAAATGGGAAGTACAATGCCTGCACTTTAAAGGAGGGGTTTAGGATACTGGCAGTTTGGAGGGATATGTTGTGTATCTTTATACGTATATACGTACTTCTAAACTTTTAGGTAGTGGGTTGGTAGACAGCAGCCGCCCAGAGAGGTACTACCGTCCTGCCAAGTGAGCGTAAAATGGAAACTTGTAATTGTTTTACACGATGGTAAGATTGCTGGTGTCTTTTTTCTGTCTCATACACATGCAAGATTTCAGGTACATCTTGCTACTTCTACTTACACTTAGGTCACACTACACAAACATGTACAATCATATATATACACACACCCCTCTGGGTTTTCTTCTATTTTTCTTTCTAGTTCTTGTTCTTGTCTATTTCCTCTTATCTCCATGGGGAAGTGGAACAGAATTCTTCCTCCGTAAGCCATGTGTGTTGTAAGAGGCGACAAAAATGCCGGGAGCAAGGGACTAGTAACCTCCTCTTCTGTATATATTACTAAATTTAAACGGCGAAACTTTCGGTTTTCCTTTTGGGCCACCCCGTCTCAGTGGGATATGGCTGGTATGTTGAAAGAAGAAGACTTCTAAACTCTTGTATCCTGAGCACCTCTGCAAAAACAGTGATTATGTGTGAGTGAGTTGAAAGTGTTGAATGATGATGAAAGAATTTTCTTTTTGGGGATTTTCTTTCTTTTTGGGTCACCCTACCTCGGTGGGAGACGGCCGACTTGTTAAAAAAAAAAAATAAATAAATAAATAAAAAAAAAATACGGCTAATAAAAAAATTCAAACTTAAACCTTTTTTGTAAGAAGTTAAATATCAATTGAAAGTTAGCTCTTCATTCCTTTAATGTGTTTCATCAACTTGTTCAATTTTATTTTAGTGCCAGAGCATTTATATATTACTAAGTTCACTCAACAGTACAAATTAAATAGCCTTATGGCAATCACTGTAATACAAATGATATCAGTGATTACAATTGCATTGTGTGTTTTGTAATCACTAATCAGAGCTGAGTGTATGGTAACCATCAAAGATAACTTTATATCTGGCAATCATCAATGATAGCTTAATGTGTAGCACAGTAATCATCAGCCATGACAATGTGCCATGGTAATCACCAATCATAGCTGTATGGTAATCATCAAATATAACTGAATGTGTAATAAAAAAAAGTGTAATAATCACTAATCATGGGCAAATACCAAATGCAGACCAAAAAAAAAAAATGTACATTACAAAGTTGATGCATTATCATTTTTATTACACATGCTGGAAGCATTAAACCCAAAGAGGGTCATACAGCACCTGGGGAATGGGAGGCAATCAGGTATGATCCAAAGAAAGTAAGGGTCAGATTTCATTCCCTAGATAAAGAGCCCCTCACTCATATCAAGGAACCTCCCACCCTTACAAGGGATACCCTATTGATTTAGATCAACTAGCAGATCCTCTGGAATGTGAATTATCAAACATCAGAGGGAGAAATTAAACTTCTTACTTGTTTTCCTTTTCTTGTGGTGGTGGTTGCTTGTGAGATGGTGTGTGAGGGAGAGGCTGGGGCAAGAAGGTAGTTTCTGTGTGAGCAATAACAGTAAGGGCCTTCTCAGGGTGGTGTGCCCCAAGGTGACACTCAGCCATCACCAGACATACTCCTATCCCCACACTCTCTTCTGTGGGAAAGAACATTACACTGTAAGAAGAGCAGTTTTTTATATGCTTATCTATTACATCTTACTTTCACATCACATCACAGAATAATGACAAAATAACAATAAAAGTAAAATAATAATAATAATAATCATTACTGGGAAGAGAAGAAGAATCCTCCCTCCATAAGCCATGCGTGTCTTAAGAGGCGACTACAGTGCCGGGAGAAGGGGCTGGTAACCCCTACTGTATAAACTGCTAAATGTAAAAAAGAAGAAACTATGTATCAATTGTGTTTATGAAAGTCCTCATAATAATAGTAATTCCAAGGCAAGTTTGAACATATATCTTAGATAAAAGCCTACCTAAGGACTCTAGACTTGTGTACATTTTCTCCAAGAGTGAAAGTGCAGCCCGATACTGGTGGAGGTGGTAGAGGACAATGCAGTGGTTAAGGTGTATTACACTTCGGTCAACTTCATCTGTGGAGTCTACCTCATCAATTTTGAAGCCACACTACAAAGAATATTGAGAGAATTATTTGTAACATACAACATAAATGAATGTACATTTATTTCTAATTAAATCAGTTCTTCAGTAGTTTTATCTACTTTTAAATGAGACTTATTATGAGAACAGAAGTAGCAAGTACATAACCACTCACCTGCGAGCAAATATCTACCAACTGCTTACGAAATATTTCAGTTTTCTTGAGATCACTCTTGTAATACTCAATTACAGCCTTATTCATCAACACCTGAAACATAAATGAACATTGTACGTATATAGAAACTGCCAAAAAATTAAAAGAAAGGAGGGAGAAAAAAGTAGGAGTTTCTACAGAAAAGCATTGCTAAGCCTAACCATCAAATGGTTTATCTGGAAGCTGAACCAGTAGACAGAGGTTGACAAGATCCAAATTAAAAAACTAATATATTTATAGATTTTATATACAGTGGACCCTCAGTTATTGGCTGTAATCCATTCCAGGTCAGCCTAAATCCGAAATGGCTGAAAACTGAAATATTTTCCACAAGAATTAATGTAAATACAAAATCCATTCCAGACACCCAAAAATATTAACAAAAAAAATACATGTTTTAAAGGTTAACTATAGTTTTACATTCACAAAACAATGAGAACTAAATAAAATAAATAAATGAACATTTAAATCACTATTACATACCTTTATTGAAGACTCTTGTTGGCTTATGGAAGACAGGAAGTAGGAGAGAGGGAGGACTGATTATTGTTTGGAAGGGGAATCCCCCTCCATAAGGGCTTCAGGTTATGGAGGGTTACATACCTTCTTTGTCTTTTACTGCCACTAGGACCAGCTTGAGTCACTGCACCCCTGTTGCACCAAGAAACTTTCCAGAGAGCTCTGTTTCTGGCATCTCTAAGATTTGCCTGAAGTGGGTCAAGGTTTTGTCACTGAACATGTTGCAGATATGGCTTGTTTGAGCTTGGTCAGGTTGACATTTTTCAACAAAAGTTTGCACCTCCCTCCACCTTGCACAAATGTCCTTAATCACTAAAGAAGGTACATTCTCCCCTCTCTTCCTCCTCCTCTGAACCATTTTCCTCAGCTGTGGTCTGTTGCTGTTCCAGCCCTTTAGTCAGTCCTGACAGCGTGGTTTTTGCGAGTGTCCTCCTACTCCCCCAGCGCATCTGGGTTCCCATTCTCTATTTCTGACCAATCACAAGCCTTCCCTGAATCGCTCCAGCTAAAGGAATGGCGTCTCCTTGCTTCCCATTGGTCGAGAGAGCAAAATGTAAACATTTCTAGCTTGGCGTCGCCCAGACTCATGTTTTTCGTCGAGTGCTCCTCATATACTCTTGCATTTCACCCTCTACAATGTCATAAGTATTCATTTGTGTGTCTAGTGCATAAATGAATAGTTTAGCTATATTTTGATATACACCTACCATCCGACTTACAACCGAGTTCGGTTCCGAGAAACCGGTTGTAAGTCGAAATGGTCGTAAGTCGAACTTTACTACTGAATATCAACAAAACATTTTTGTAATGACTATTTTAGTGTTTTATTTTGGCATTTCATGTTTTACTTTACTTTTTATGTTGCTAGTACTGTATTTTATACTGTAAGGTTTAGGATAAACACTGTGTACAACACAAATAGCTGTTTATTTCCCAGAAATTTGGCATAAAAAACACGGTCGCAAGTCGAGTGGTCGTAAGTCGAGCAGGTCGTAAGTCGGATGATAGGTGTATATATATATAAAGACGTTGTGAAGCATAATAAGAGTGCACCATGCATATGAAAAAAGTGCAACAAAAGAGAACCAAGTACACTTGGCCCTGCCCGTTTAGGTGATGTTTTCAAGTTTCAGTATATAAATATTTATATAAAATTTGGTAGTGTATATATGAATTCAGTAATGATCTGGGTGTGTACAGAACCTTTTTATTGTCCTTCCAGATCAATCAGAAATTGTTCTATGGCGAGTCCTCCAAGGATAAGTCAAAATTTGTCTGTATTTGGGACGAAAATGACTCAGATCAAGACCCAGATGACCTGGAATTGGTGGACAGTGGTGATGAATACTTGCCACAAGATGCAGAGGTGTCACAGATGAGGAGGAAGCTATGCCACCATCCAAAAAGCAGAAATTGAACAAGATACTTGCTTACATGCAAGTATTGCAGCAAAAAGAATAATCATGTCACATCCTTATTTCCCTGTGCCACATGCAAAGTAAATCTATGCATCAAGAAGGATAGAAATTGTTTCATAAAGTTTCATTGCAGAAATTAGTGATGTAAAATGATTGTTCTTTCTCAGGGAACTCAGGAATATTTCATTTGTAAGTTGTATCCCATTGCAATGTGTCATTGTTGATAAGTAGTTCCTATTTCTATTTTTTTTAATGCTTACAAATTGTTCAGAAACAAGTTCCATTTATGTTTTTTATATTGTCTACTTGTATAATAAATTTAAATTTTTTTTTTTTATTTTTAACAGTTGCAACCTTGCAACATTTTAAATTGTTATACCCTTAACGGGCAGGACCGAGTTTACTCGGGCTTAGCATGTCTGCAGTTGCTTGACACATAACTTTTACAACTCCATTTATATGGCCTCATTGACCTTAAATCGAGCAGCTCTATCCCCTCATACGAAATCGCTTTCAAATTCGCATTTTGGTCTGCCTTGCCCTCTGAAGGGATTATTAAGGACCCCAATAGAAATAAGTTAGACAGTCCTCGATGATGCACTGACTTTCTTGGGTTATCCTGGGTGGCTACCCATCTGGGGTTAATTGTTTCTCGGTATTCTCGATCAGCCACACCAACAACAGTCTCTCCACATCTTCAAGTAGTACAGCTGACCATGGTGCAGCAGCAGCTGACGGTGGTGCAGCAATAGCTGACGGTGGTGCAGCAGCAGCTGACCGTGGTACAATAGTATTTCGATAGTATTTCTCACCCTTTTACCACAGGGTTAGCACCAGAAGCTTTATTGGGGCCCGTGGTGGCTTATTTAGCGGTTACAAGCACTAAAAACACTGGAATACAAAATATATCGCAGGTACACATGGAAACGACCGAAATGGCTTGTAAACATTGGCACACAGTCTTGGAGTGGCTGGGCGTGCTCAGCCAAGCTCTGGCCGCATGGACACATTCAGGACGAAAGCCGTTAGATAAGTTTTTCGCCATTGGTAAAGCCAATATTTTTACGCCAAAGAGTGCCATTAGACGAATTTGGCGTTAGTCGATGCCGCCGTTGGTCAGGGGTCCACTGTACTACTAATAATGATAATAAAATACTATATAATAATAAAATAATAATATATAATATAATGATACGTAATAGTACAATAATAACTATAATAATACTATGTACATACTGCGTATAATTTAGTTTGACAACACCACCACAATGGTCACCAGTGCAAATGTGCTTATGGAGCTACCCTCGCGGTGCAAGGAATTCTCGAGATTTCCTTACGTTTCACGCAGTTAATTTGCCAGATTTCCTTCTTCTAACCATGGGTCCTAAGGAAGCAAGTGCAAAGGACAGTGCAGAGAAGAAAGAGGATGATTTTCATGGAATTAAAGCAAGAAATGATTAATAAGCACAGACTAGGTACGAGGGTTGAGGACTTGGCGAGTTGAGTTCAAGTGTAGCCCCTCTACTATATGTACCTATGGGTTTAGCGCTTTCCCATGATTATAATAATAATAATAATCTACTATATGTACAATACTAAAGCAGGAGTCTATAAAGGTTATAGCACCAGCAAAGGGCATTACAGTAATTTCTAAGAAGTGGACCTCTGTCAATTAAAAGATGGTAAAGCTGCTGTTGACATGGTTGACGGAGAAACAGCTCACTGGAGATACGTAGTGTAGCGAGATAAACACAAAAATCGTACAAAGCCGTTTCTAACCCTTTCAGGGTCGAGAGGCCCTCTCCTAAACTCGTTCTCAGGGTCAAAGTTAAAAAAAAAAAAAAAAAAAAAAAAAAAAATAATAATAATAATCTTATGAAATGATAGAGAATCTTTTCCCGATCATAATGACACCAAAAGTATGAAATTTGATGGAAAACTTATGGAATTAAGCTCTCGCGAAGTTAGTGGTCTTGACGATGTTTACATATCGGCGATTTCGCCTACTTTGATCCCTTTTTTTCGGCCAATTTCAGTGTACTAGTTGACAAAAATCATATCTATTTTGCTAGAACTCCATTTTTTCTATCGAAAGAGTACAAGAAACCACCCATTTACCGATTTCAACTATCCAATAAAGTGGTCAGAAATTGGCAATTTTGCCAATTTCACACAAATTTCAAAAGATGCCAATTTCCAAATAGGGTCCAGAATAAACAAGACATTCCTGGCACTAAAATAACATTTCCTCTGTTCATTAGTCACGTCCCCACGCCCCTTACATTTTTTTGCTTTCCACTTTGAATTTTTCTCACAAAAAAATAGAAGATTTACTGTTATGCAGACTACTGCATTAGTGTAGAAATGGTATAAATAATATCAGTGCACTTGTGAAAGAATATTAGACTCGCCAGTTGATGTGTATTGGACGCCTGGCATGATTTGCTCAATTTCAAGGTACTTTTCATTATGAAACCAATCAAAATCATCTCAATTTCTGTAATATGTCTTCCATTCTATAAAATGAGACCAGGATAACTAGAATACAACCATAAATACCATACAAAAATACACTGCAAAGTCGCTGTTTTAAACCAAAAACATGGTCGGATTTTTTTTTACTCATTATGCACTGTGTGCCACAGGATTTTTTTTATACCGTGCACACTGACCACACAGACCCATTCTTTCATATGTAGGCCTACCAGCTTTCTCTCACTAGATCTGAAGATGCTAGAATTTAGGCGTTCTAGTATGTCAATAACCCTGGTGTGTAAGTCGTACTATTACGTCAGAAACCCCGAAAGGGTTAAGAAAAGTGTGAACTCCTGACAGGCTATGCCACTCTGCATTTCTTCTCCAAGGTATGTAAATGTCATATGTACACCAGTCTAATTCAGTTAGCCTCACAAACTCAGTTTTCTCTTAAAATAACACCTCTGACGTCTTCATAGCGAGAAAGCACGACGGCTCCCGACCACAATCCTCCTCCCTCCACCATCCATGTAATGACATATTTTATTCATTCAAGAGTGTATATCGGGTTTCTATATTATTTATATTTATTGTGTCATATTAGATGAATTGTGACAGATAAATAAGCCGTAGAGTTGATATTAGGGTTATTTTGTCATGCCTCCTGAGAGCAGGAATTCAGCTGGAACGAATTAACCCTTTGACTGTTTCAGGCCCCTCTCTGAAACTGTCATTCTATGTCGCTCAATTTTTGAAAAAAAAAAAATTATTTTTTCTTATGAAATGATAGAGAATCTTTTCCCGATGGTAATGACACCAAAAGTTCGAAATTTGGTCGAAAACTCGTGGAATTATGCTCCCGCGAAGTTAGCGGTCTCGGCGACATATCCGTATCGGCGATTTCGCCGACTTTGAGCCCTATTTTCAGCCAATTCCATTGTTCCAGTTGACCAAACTCATAGCTATTTCTTTAGAACTCCATTTTATCTATCAGCTGAGTACAAGAAACCTCCCATTTACTAATTTGGACTACCCAATATGGTGGTCAGAAATTGGCAATTTGGCCAATTTCACGCAAAATAAAAAAGATGCCAATTTCAAAATAGGGTCCAGAATAAACAAGGTAGACATTCGTGGCACTAAAATAACATATGCTCTGTTCATTAGTCACATCTCTAGGCCCCTCTTATATTATTATTGCTTTCTATTTTGATTTTTTATTCATACAAAAAAATACAAAATTTACTGTTATGCAGGCGACTGCATTATTGTAAAAATGGTATAAATAATATCAGTGCACTAGTGAAAGAATATTAGACTCCCCAGTTGACGTGTATTGGACGTGTGGTGTGATTTATTTACTCTTGAACATTGGTAAAAATCGAACATTTCTGCTACTTTGAGCTCAGTTTCAAGGTCGTTTTCATCGTAAAAGTAATGAAAATCATCTCTATTTCTGTAATATGTTTTCCATTTTATCACTTAAGACCATGAAAACGCGAATACAACGATAAATACTATACGAAAATACACCTCAAAGTCGGCGTTTTATTCCAAAAAAACGATCAGAGTTTTTTTTTTCTCATTACGCAATGTGTGCTGCAGGATTTTTTTTATGTGGTGCACACTGACCACACAGACCCATTCTCTCACATGTGGGCCTACCAGCTTTCTCCCACTTGATTTGAAGCCGCTAGAATTATTGAGTATATATACGTCAGAAACATTGGCTCGTAAGACGTATTTATACGTCGAAAACAGTCAAAGGGTTAATTGCATTTCAATTAATTTAAATGAGGAAAATTGACCCAGCATACGAACAAATCAGGATACAAAGAACTCCAAGGAACAGATTAAATTCGTAACCCGAGGTTCCACTGTATACTCTTCAATATTAACATTATTTACAAAGGTAGAGACAAAATTAAATTGGTAGGCCATGTTACTTCCCATTACAGTTGTATTCACTAATAATTAATGATGCCAAAAGCTTGCCTTCAAATCACAATATACCTGTAGCCTGGAGTTTCATAGGACCAAAAGCACATGGCTGCTTTGGGGTGCATTCTGGGAATCCCAAAAACTTGCTCAAAGTAGTACACAACCACCTGCTTCCAGCCATGTTGGTCAAGCAGAGAAAGAGAGAGTGTCTGCAAAACCCACACTAAGTTAGAAATTTCTAAAATATTCCAAATTAATTATTTACCTTAGCATCCTTTGGTCTAGTGGCTTGCAACTGGTTCAAGTGTGTCAGAGCAGAAACATAGTTGCCCTTTGTGAACTCAGCCTGAGCAGCCTGTGCCCACTCTCTCTCAGTATCAGTTGTATCAGATGTGTTGGTAGCCTCTGTGGATGCTGCAGTCTCCTGAGGCTCTTCCCCGCTACTCTTACTCTCAGCCATCTGGTGAAGACATTACAAATAATGTTAGAATTATCATGGGAAAGCACTATACCTGTAGGGGCTATACAGTGCCTGGAAAATGGGAGGTACATAATTAGACCTGATCAGAGTAAGGAGAGGGCAGCTCCACTTCCCTGAATAAAGAGTCAAGAATCAAGATATAAGGCAAGTGAATGTTCGCGAATTTCGGAGTGAGACAGCAAGTCAAAGGAAGACCAGTTCTGTGAGACACCTCTGTGCTCGCATATTTTAATTTGGAAGTTTTGTGAAGAACTATCAATACACCATAATAAACTGTTAGGACATTTATAGCTATATACAATATTTGAGCATAAACATGTAGGGAGTATGTCTTTAAAGAATGAATCAACAGTAAAATAGTAAAAACAAATTTTAAAAAATTCAGAAGGTAAAGTTCAAACAATAATGAACTTTCAAAACAAGGGAAATAGTGCCAATGATGACACTTAACCCTTAACCCTTTGACTGTCGCAACCCCCAATCCTGAGGTGTCTCCTGGTGTCGCAAAATTTAAAAAAAAAAAATTATTTTTTCTTATGAAACGATAGAGAATCTTTTCCCGATTGTAATGACACCAAAAAAAACGAAATTTGATGGAAAACTGATGGAATTATGCTCTTACGAAGTTAGCGACCTTGGCGCTGTTTATAAATCGGCGATTTCGCCCACTTTGAGCCCTATTTTCGGCTAATTCCATTGTTCCAGTCGCCCAAACTCATAGCTATTTCTTTAGAACTCCATTTTTTCTATCGATTGAGTACAAGAAACTGCCCATTTACCGATTTCAACTACCTAATAATGTGGTCAGAAATTTGCAATTTGGACAATTTCACGAAAACTAAAAAATATGACAATTTCAAAATAAGGTCCAGAATGAACAATGCAGACATTCCTGGCTCTAAAATAAAATTTTTTTGCTCATCAGTCATGTCTACAGGCCCCTCTGATATTACTCTTGCTTTCTATTTTGAATTTTTATTCAAACAAAAAATAGAAGACTTACTATTATGCAGACTACTGCAATACTGTAATAATTGTATAAATAACATCAACCCATTCATGACTACATATTAGAATGGCTAGTTGGACATTTATTGGACAATGGCATCATTTGTTTACTTTTGAACATTGGCAAAAATCAAACATTTCCCCTACTTTGAGCTCCATTTCTAGGTTCTTTTTATAGTAAAATCAATCAAAATCACCTCTATTTCTATAATATGTTTTCCATTCTATCAAATGAGACCAAGAAAACGAGAATACAACCATAAATACTATACGAAAATAGACCACAAAGTCGGCATTTTAATTAAAAAAAAACGGTCGGAGTTTTTTTTTTTCTCATTATGCACTGCGTGCTCCAGGATTTTTTTATATGGTGCACACTGACCACACAGACCCATTCTCTCACATGTGGGCCTACCAGCTTTCTCCTGCTTGATTTGAAGCCGCTAGAATTTATGAGTATATATACGTCAAACACGGTACCTCGTAAGACGTATATATACGGCCGCGACAGTCAAAGGGTTAAACTGTTTTAAATTGTTCCACTGTAATACTGTAATCTTTATAAACTAATTCAATAGTGTAATAATTCTCTGCTAGACTTATCAAAGCCATGTAGCATTGCCTAATAGAATATTCAATTCTCTTGTACTCACTGTAACTCATCTAATGACCATATGAACTATTATTGCCTTCCTAATCTTAAGTTAATGTATCATGTCAAAATAAACATCTTAATCTTAAACACAGATCTATGTTTGTACTGCTAGCACTCCAAACATAGATCTAAGTTTTATTTTGCCTGCTTTCAAATTTGGCACGAAAGGCTTGAACAGCCTAGACATGATAGAATGGGTCTGTGCACTCAGTGTGCGCAGCATGAAAAAAATTGGGGACACTGCAGTACCGCATAGTACCACCAGTTAGTTTCAGCTTCATCTTGGGTCAACATCATGGCAAACCCCCATGATACAAAACATGAGTTTAGTGGATTTGACACTGATATGGCCACTCATGATTAAGGAATTAGTGAAAATGTTGATGATAACCCAGATGACCCTCAGTCCATCACCTCTGGTATGGCCAGTGTGGACAGTGTGGCCATACCAGACCCCTAAGCCCAGCACCTATGGGGTGGCTAGTGTTACTACCCAAAGGTAACTAAGCAAGAGGAAATTATCATTTTCCCACGGTTTTGGTGGTGACAATAATGAAAGTGATACAAGTGATGACAAGATCGATTTTATGCCTTTAGAGGATTCGTCGAGTGAAAGTAATATTCATTATTCCCCAGCAAAATGTACTTTTAGGTGGTGGCGCCTACGTTCAGGTAGTGTGCCACATGCAGTCTGCAAGGGTTGTGGGAGGTCATGATCCAAAACCCCAGTCACTGATAGTGATACTGTTCATGAAGGAGAATATGCTGGGATGGAGGAAGAAGAGGTGGGTGGCATGGTGCCTGGACCTCATGGTGCAGTGGGTGGGCAGACAAAGGGCCACCCAGCACCCTCTCAACCATGTGCTGCCTCCACTCCTGTCCCTCCTCCTGCTTCCCCATGCCCTATGCCACAGGTCCACCCTGCACCACCAGACTGTGAATGGAACTGGACAAAAAGTACACCATTCATGCCACATCCTTACAATTTTGATGCCAGTGGAAGTGTCATCGTGCCCATGTCCCATCACAAATGAGTCTACAGAGTTAGACTACAGTATTTTCAATTATACTTTAATGAGCCTATAATGAACTTGACTGTCACCCAGACCAACAGTTACTACTACTATACAATGGACAACACAGAGGTTGCAGAATCGTTACAGCCTGCACAGGTGGAAAGATACAACTGTGGCTGAAATGTATTTATTCCTTGGCACTGTCATGCTTATGCCACATACATATAAGCACAATATAGCACACTACTGGTTCACAGACTACTTCATCAATACTCCAGTCTCTTGTGAACTCCTTCCCTGCAACAGATTCACTCTGTTGTTACGAATGTTGCACTTCTCAGACAGGAATACGCCCAACAGAAATGGCCTCCTATACAAAATCCAGGAAGTGTTTATGTATTTATTTTATTATCACACTGGCCAATTCCCACCAAGGCAGGGTGGCCCGAAAAAGAAAAACTTTCACAATCATTCACTCCATCACTGTCTTGCCAGAAGGGTGCTTTACACTACAGTTTTTAAACTGCAACATTAACACCCCTCCTTCAGAGTGCAGGCACTGTACTTCCCATCTCCAGGACTCAAGTCCGGCCTGCCGGTTTCCCTGAACCCCTTCATAAATGTTACTTTGCTCACACTCCAACAGCACGTCAAGTATTAAAAACCATTTGTTTATGTATCTGAAGCAAAAATTCAGTACCTAATTTTTTCCATTCAAGAACAACGTTTTTGACGAGTCGTTGATTCTGTTCAAGGGAAGACTGTGATTCAAACAATATGCACCAAGCAAACAATTGCTTTGGTATAAAACTCTTCGTTGTGTGTGACAGACTGGTACTGTGTTGGATGTCATTATCTACACAGGGAAAAATACACTCGACGATACCAGGCGGATGCTGGGCATTTCTGGGGACGTTGTTCACAACATGTATGAAATAAAGACTAGGAAGCGACAACTCTATGCAGAATTCACCCTCAGTGTCATAAAGCAGATGGTAAAAAAGTAAAAAGTATGGTATCACACCCGTATCTGTCCCTCAACAGTGACCTGTCCCCTCATCACAACCACAGGGCGATGGTACCAAACCAAATAATCCCTAACTGTCACTGTCTGATACCGATACCATCTACCCCAAAGAAGAGTATTCTCAGAAAGTGTGTTTTGTGTGCTAAAACTACAAGGCAACCCCAAGTGCAAAAAGACACAAGATTCATGTCAGCAGTGTGGGGTGGCACTCTGTATGAATCCATGCTTCATGGAGTATCATACAATGGAGGAGTTCTAGAAACATAAAGGGGACCTGTAAATACCTTGTATATATATGTAGATATTGTAATAGTATGTGATTGAACCAGGTGTACAAATTCATCTATCAGTGTAAACAAGTGTGTTTGTGACAGTATGATTACTAATTCAGTACCAAACATTTGTGTCTCAACAACAATTGGCTATGAAATCAAAAGATATGTAACAAAACATAATTATCATAACATAAAAATTACGAAAATTACAAAAGAAATGAGAGAAAAAAAAAAAGGATAAATCTTTAATGTTCCTGCAAGTGGCAGCACCTGATGTTGCTGTCACCTGAGCATTCAGAGCCAACTTCACGGGCTTATATCTCGGTAAGTACTGACCCTAATTTTTTTTTATCTTATAACGTGAAAGTTAAAACACATGTGCAACATCTGGATATCTTTATTGTACACGTTTCGCCATCCAGTCGCTTTATCAATACAGATTCTAGGACATAATTAGAAGGCAGTAGAACTATATACAAAAGATGAGGTAATCAGTCCCTCAGCCTTGGAGTTAGTGTTTACAGCATCGTGGTGGTAGAGAATCTGGAGCAAAGGCAAGAAGACTGGCAGTTATATAGGCATCAGTGGATAAGGACGTGTAGCAGACGAGGGCATAGTCACTGGTAGGCGGGATTCCCCAGTGGAAGTAGGTCCTGCCCAAAGGGATGGGTTAGTTGTAGCAGCCGTGAAGAAGGTCTTGTAGATGTCCTCTGAACCAAAATTCCATGATGTTGCAGTGTCTGACAAGTTGTGCATATCTTATAACATGTAGAATAATACCCTCTTCATTTAAAAAAAAAAAAATCCAAAATATTTGCAATTGCGTCATTACGATTTCATGAGTCAAGTTATTTGGAGAGCTGGGTGTGAAAACTTACATCTATGTTTGAACAGTTTAACCCTTTCAGGGTCAACAGGCCCTCTTAGAGACTTGTTCTCAGGGTCGGCCAAATTTAAAAAAAAAAAAAAAATATTTTTTCTTATGAAAAGATAGCGAA